AATGGTCCCTGACAGTCTGCGATGTACACAACTGCTGGATTAGAAAATCAAATTATGTACAGTTTGAGTGATTTGTTGCAGAAAATCGCTGCTGGAGGCGGAATTCAAGTGCCGGATTAAAGCGTAGAAAATGAACTGAAAAAATCCGTTTTGCCAGAAAGTGTGCTGGTTTGCAAGGGTGCTGGATAAACAAGTGCCGGATTAGAGAGGGACGACTGTACAACATGTATGGCATAACACTGCGTAATAATGCCGATGTACTGGGTGTCTAAAGGCAGTACAGTGTATTTACATGTACTAAAAAATATATTTAAAAAAAAAATCCGCCCGCCCGCCCGTAAAAAAATGTCCATGTTAGTCGAACCACACACCTTCTTTAGTTTGGCCTAATGAGACTTCGAGTATCGACACTTTGCGAATAAGGATCAGGACACCTTTTTGATGCCCCGCCGAGTGTCGTTATAAGCGAAGTAAGTAAAAGTTAGTTAGTTGACTGTACTGACTCAGAGTACTAGTGACTACTGAGTCTGAGGCTCTACAAAGACTACAGTAGTCTACACTACAGACTCCACTAGACTGACAGTGCACTAGTGACACTGATATGACTGTCAGTGACAGTGTCAGTACAGCCAGTACGAGCGTACTAGTACAGTAGTAGTACTAGGCAGTAGTCTTTGTGGGCTAGAGAGTAGAGAACCAGCACTGTCTGTAGAGGTCTACCATGCATGGTTGAGTACAGTGAGATGGCGGCAAGGGATTTTTCTGGTCCTCTTTTTTTTTATCAACCTCATGAGCTCAATGCACTGCATGCGCGGCCGCCTGCCAACCGGCAAAATCAAGAAGCATCGCCTACTCGACGTTGGAGCGATCCCCGCTACAAGTAAACTGTTAAAGGGGAAGTATACCCTAAAATCAAATTTTCACCAGTTGTAGTCTTCGGGGTGCTGAGTCGAATGGTCTTGGTCCGAGGAAGCTGCGACGCTCCCTTCCTACTTGAATCCCAATCGAACTCGCGCACTTCCACCGAAACTGGGTGACTGCGCCCTACTAGATGGGGATTTGTATGCAAAATTTCACTAAAAGCGCCATTTCGTTCTTATAAAAGCACGGATGACCGCGATTGGCCCATATGTTGTAGTCTTTTGGACGCTGAGTCGACTGGTTTTGGTCCGAAAAGGCTGCGATGCAGCGTTCCTCCTTTATTCCCAATCGAACATGGTTGAAGAAGCAGTCACGTGGTCCTTGTTGCCCAAATCACCTGGTCACCGCGTCAGCAGGCGACAACTTTCACACCAAGGTTCAACTCGAGTGACAGGACTGCACCCAAAAAAGGTCAAACAGGCTAGTAAGTTGTACCCTGCAGGCACGGTGACCAGGTGACTGGTGTACGCAGGAGCACGTGACCGCTTGTTCAACCATGTTCGATTGGGAATAAAGGAGGAACACTGCATCGCAGCCTTTTCGGACCAAAACCAGTCGACTCAGCGTCCAAAAGACTACAACATATGGGCCAATCGCGGTCATCCGTGCTTTTATAAGAACGAAATGGCGCTTTTAGTGACATTTTGCATACAAATCCCCATCTAGTAGGGCGCAGTCACCCAGTTTCGGTGGAAGTGCGCGAGTTCGATTGGGATTCAAGTAGGAAGGGAGCGTCTCAGCTTCCTCGGACCAAGACCATTCGACTCAGCACCCCGAAGACTACAACTGGTGAAAATTTGATTTTAGGGTATACTTCCCCTTTAAGTAACTATTAATTTTTTTTAATATTTTAGTTAGTGCACCGGTAGGTCTTTACGGCTGCATGTAGACCAAGGCAAGGTAGACCAACCATGATCCTGTGCGAAGTGTCTGCAGGGCATGGGGGAACACCGAAAGTAATGTTACACCAGGTCAGCCTACTACAGGATCTAGAGCAGATACAAGCACACCGTTACTTTACTTGCCCGTATAATCATGATAATCATGATAATGCGGGTATGGCTGTGTGACCATCGACCAGAGGGCACAAGTCGATCTACGCCTCATTGAGCACAGAGAAGGAGCACTGGTACGAACATGCCGCTAAAAGCCTTATACTACTACATGTACTAGTACATGACTGTGCTGTACTGCTGTACTGCTAGTGCTACTCTCCAGGCCTGCAGAAACGGTGTCTTTGTAGCGATCGTCCAGCATTGATTCTGATTGATTTTTATTTCACGGATCCTCCAGAGGCAAATAGATGCCTATCGCAGGGAGTCTCCTAAGTCTTAGGAGACTCCTAAAGTAGGTATGGAAAATGAGAAAGTATGTTCGTAAGGGAGAAGAGGTAGAAGATACATTAGAATATAGAGTACAAAAGAAGTAAATTCAGTACTTCGGGTAGTACATTGCATGCTAATCATAATGAGAATTAGAAAAGCAGCATTGCGGACTACTATAACTGACATATACACAAACTATTGAAACTATCATAGATGTGGTTAGCCTAGACACAAAAGTCAGGAATACCTTTCAAAGAAAACATAGATTGCGAATGATACCGACGAACAGCAATACTAAATTTCGCTGTTGTAGAGAGTGAACGAATATCTTCAGGAAGTTTATTCCAGGCAACACTCAAAGAAAAAAGGGTCGATTTACGAAAGTAGGTGCCAGCTTTAGGAAGAATTATGGATGAAGGGTGACGACTGCTTTGGGAAGAGGGTAGCTGGAAGTGAGACAACAAAGAGGGGTATTGGGAGAATACATGGTGAAAATAGACAAGGCCAAGAATCTGCCGTCGCCATGCTAAAGATTCCCAAGAGGACAGAACATTGAGGTCTTCTTTGGAAGTCGTCCAGTCAGGCCGACGCTTGAGTTTACTATTTAAGTATGCTCTAGCAGCAGCAGCCTGCAGTTTATCAAGGGTTGTGGACATGGTGGCTGAAACGGAAAACATCCAAACGGGAACAGCATATTCAAGGAGGAGACGAACACAACATTTATACAAAAGATTCAAAGCAGGAAAAGGAAGGAAGTTGGACATGTGGTTTAAAAGAAAAACCCGACCACGAAATTTGCTTGTAATGTGTCGAATATGGGGGGGACAGATTGAGTGAAGGAGTGAGGATGATGCCCAGATGGCGGTGGGAAGAGGGCTGGGTCAGTAACGTACCGGCCATGGTGACGGTCCTGGGATCAGGTAGGTTTGATTTAGGTCTGCAAAAGGGGACATGGACACATTTGTTAGCATTGAAAACTGCTTCAACTTTATGGGACCAGCAAGGTCTACTTGCAGGGAGGCAGTGTGCGCGGCGGGTACGACAGTAGGCGGAGAAACGCAGACCATGTTGGAATCATCCGCAAACAGAGTCAGATCGCTGGATTGGGGAATGCTGGGAAGAGAGTTGATAGAAAGGTTGAATAATAGAGGGCCTAGGTGGGAGCCTTGTGGCACACCAGCGGTGAGCGACATATGGGTTGATAATGCAGTGCCGACCCGCACAGACATCGATCGGCCTTCCAGGAAGTCCATCAGCCACGCGAATGAGTCAGGTGCGCACCAACCGGACAGACATGAGGCTAGGATGCGATGGCTGGCAGCATGCATGATCGAAGGAAAAAATGACTCCCGGCCGGAAGTATAATACTGTGATTGTGGACATGGAAATCCGGTCGCAAGCCTAGCGGCCCCATGCCCTATAACTATAACTATAAGGCTAGCCAGATATACTGCATAGGGCGCTGGCCATGCAGCCCTGTGAAGCGGTACACGTAGATCTACGTATACATCGGATCAACACGTGCACATGCATGCAACGTTCTGCTGCCCCCGGGGAAAATCGCGGAACAAAATAGCAAAAAACGCGGCAAAAAACGCGGCATAATATGGCATAATTTGCGGTGAATTTGCGGTAAATATGCGGTGAATATTATTGATATCATCTCGCGGCGGCAAGTTTGCAGTTGATATGAGGCCATTTTCAGTGAGTATGTAGTGAAATCAATCAGTTACAAGTCTCTGGTGTAAGCACTCGTCATATTTGAGTACAAAGCCGCCACGATGAGACGTTGCTGACCGAACAGTGCACTGTGTGTACGTGTAGTGCAACAAAAAAGTTCAAAAAACGCGGGAAAATCGCGGGAAACGCGGTCTTTTAAAAATCGCAAAAAACGCGGAAAAAACGCGGCCACGGAATCGCGATTTTCTCCGGGGACATGTTCTGTACACGCTGAGGGCGCCGACCCCGGAAATCCACGACACTCGACAGTGGATGTAGATCTACGCGAGCTTGAACCAGGGAGTCGTATTATTATACCCTCCCTGGCTTGAATCAGGTGAGCGGGTACATCCATTGGGGGGATTCCCTACTAGTACGACAGTCTCCGGACAGTGGTTTTCACCACCATCCCTCCTCACAGTCCTGGGCCAGGATTTATGTGAGGGATGCTGGTGAAAACATCCTACACACCAGCCGTGTCGGAAGGTAGACCATGGTGAACTGAATAGAGGTTATACGACCGATTTCTTGGTGCCACACTAGTCAAAAAGGTTTTCTAACGAGCACTCAGTATGTAGCATGGGTCGCTACATGTAGTGCAAGTGCATTGCTGTGCCGCCAGTCCGAGACTTCGCCAAGGCATCTCAATTGATGATTCAATTGCAGAACCCCTGTAATGGCACCAGAATCTCCACTGGTGCGGTCATGAAGTGGTGGGGGTCCGTAGGCTAGGCCCTCCCCAATTAAAAAAAAAAGAAGAAGAAAATTAGGTCCGAGTGACCTATATTTGACTGCCTAGAGATCACAATATTTTATTGGGGGACTGATTTCCACGTCCTGAACGCCAGACGGAAACTCAACTCCGCTATGGTTGTGAAACACCAAATCACTGGCAGGCAGACCTTGGACTGAGGAACGACACGACAGGAGAGCTCATACGGAAATGTATTCCACGTTTCGCGGGAGACTCAATTCGGCTGGGTTTCCCGCATCCGTGGGAACGCCACCACCCTCACAGCTCATAAACCATACATCTAAACATAACCAGGGAACAATATCTTCAAAACGTTGAACTACTAGTGATCAACAGAGGATGATGATACTGGATCCTATCGATTCAAAATAGAATGGCATAAATATTATCGCCTTGCAACTCATTCGAAAATATTTTAGATTAATTGTGGTTGACAAACGATGAAGACACCCATGTCATAAATAGCCACCGCGGGGACGTGTATACGACATGCAAGATGCACTGCCACAAAATAACAGTGTACACACAGACGCACGCACACATACACACACACACACACACACACACACACACACACACACACACACACACACACACACGGCAACGAGACGGCATGCCTCAATAGGTAGCGCGGCCTCCGCTGAGATCAAAACAGTAACCGGTGTTGAACGACGTTTCGTTGGAGATGATAAAACATACCGTCGATGCCACTTCATCCAGGCGGCAACACCTGCGAACATCAGATTAAACAATGTCAATGGCAGCACTCCCATACTTGTAAAATTCAAAGTCACATAAGTTACTTTCCAACTGCATAACCCGCAGCCCCACCCACAGCATCTCATCTTCTCATAGACTTATCTCCTATTGGCGATGGTGCAATCGTGAGAATAAGGAATTTAAAAAAATCAGATGTGGAAGCTTTTTAAAAGAGGTAATGTGTCAGCTTCATTTTTCTTTTTTCTTTTTTTTACTAAGAACACATCCCTAAGATATGTGGAGACAAACACAAAACAATACACGGGGGTTGTAGGGACGACGACGTGCCGATGTACAGGGAGCAACTCGACCGACCAGAGGTCTCGGCGCTAGCGTTGCAAAGGCAGCTCACAACACATGTCACCCATGCTGATGGCACTTGGGTCTTTTTCCCTCCCCAGGGGACCAACCACGGTCAATTTCTGGAAACTACCAGAGGTGAAAGAAAGTGATTAATTTTTGAAAGGATTGGGAGAACTTCAAATTCAAAGGATCAGTCGGGGAATGCCGGGCCTCGTACCAAGCGGGACCCTACATTGACCGGACAGATTTTCATGCACCCACACGTCGTGGATCGACCGTGCATCCCTGGATCAAGCGGGATAGTTTCTGCTGCACCAAGGGCGTCCGGATAGGGCAGGTTTTACTGCAGCTAATCAAGGGTCATACACCTGTTGACAACGTCAAGCCAGAGCATTCTATCCGAGCCAGTGCATTCTATCCGAGCCAGTGCATTCTATCCGAGCCAGCGAAATCTATCCGAGCCAGTGAATTCTATCCGAACCAGTGCATTCTATCCGAGCCAGCGCATTCTATCTGAGCCAGCGCATTCTATCTGAGCCAGTGAATTCAATCCGAGCCAGTGCATTCTATCCGAGGCAAGCTGCTCTGCTCCCAAAAGAGGCGCACACTGGTGATAGTCATGTTACCATAGTGATAGTGAAGCATTTCTTTTTTACTAGCAATCACAGCCCTACTAATAATCAGGGGAAGAGGACAACTGAAGTGACGCTGGACAACAAGACAAAGGGGAGTAGGGGCGATGTGCGGATGTGGTTGGCGAGGTTCATCCGACCGGAGGTCTCGGAATCATAGCCTACGTGCGACGAGGCATCGATAAGAATGCAGTCAGAGAGAGGTTACTCACCGTTTCATGGGTATCTTGTCAGTCATGTACTGCACTTGCTGTGGCTCCATAGCCTCCACCATTGCTGTACGTACTACACCCGGTGCTAGAGCGTTGACCGTCACGCCTGCAAAGACACGTGCACACGCAGTCCAGTACACACATGCACGCACGCATACACACGCACGCGCACGAGCACACACATAAATGTACATACGCGCACACACACACACACACACACACACACACGCACACACACACACACACATACACACACACGCACGTGCACCGACAGGAGCATGCCAGCATTGCTTGGAGTGAATCTTGCACGGGTGGACAGTGCACGGTCAGCATAGCATACAGGAACATGCACAAAGAGCATGGTTGTAGTCAATTGAGTGCAGTGTTGGCTAGATCCAAGAGACAACTGAGGAAGTTGATTGTGGCATTGCAGAGTCCTTTGATACCATGGCAGGGGCATCGGACACGCCACGGTGACTACGGTATTCACCGCACCACCTTTTGGCCCCTAGGTTTTGAGCCCAAATCAGTGCCTTTGATTGATTCATGGGGTCATGAATCAATCAAAAGCACTGATTTGGGCTCCAAATTTTCGAAAATTTTCAGCATAGCCACCCGTCCTAACAAGTTAATTGTACCTCAAATGGCTGACCGTACCTACCTAAATTGCCTTCCCACGCCCCTGTACCGCACATCACAACCACAACTATAAGGGAATTCCCCGACATGTGAAGATCTGGAATGCAAAACCCGCTAAATCCATTCCATTACTTTTCGGAAAACAGGATTCATTTTTTGTGCGGTTCTTATTATTTTGGGTTCCAGTTTTTGAAATGGTTCTAATCAGATTTTGAACTTGAAATTTTCCCTGGTGGTGCCCCTAGGCCTATTGAGTGCACTGAGCGGATTTTCTCAAATTCTCGGGTTTTGCATCTCAACTCTTCACCTTCCGCAATAGGATTGGCAAGTGTGGAATATCGTAAGAGTTTAAAACGATTCCCAAACATTTCCTACTCTGTGGGCACACAGTTTAACGAGCCTGCCAGCAAACACACGTCTTCTATTTCTCTAGTACAGGGGAGAGAAGGAATGACATACGTGTGACGTTTCTGGACTTTTAATGGTGGATTCTTACTCGTTAAAAAACTTAAAATGCTAGACTCTGTGCCCCGTTAGACATTCAACTCTGACAGTACCGTATTTCAACGAATGTAAGTCGCACCGTATCGAGTGTGACACCCTACAGAATGTGAATATACTGAACCAGTATTGCTCAAACCTGAACCCAGGGGTGTGACTTATAATAGAAAGCAAGAGTACATAACCCCCAAGATTGTGCAACTGCCTGTACAACCTATATACAGTGCTGCGACGGCAGAACTTCACATTACGTGACCTGGCTCAAACAGGTTACGCTGGCAAACAGTGCAAAGCAACCACAAGAGAGTTGAGCCCAAAGCAGGGTTGCGTACAACCCTGTATCTATCATACACAGGGTGAACATAATGTGTACGGGTTCATCACGTGATGTGAAGTTCTGCCGCTGCAGACCCCATAGCTAGAGTTGCACACTCTTGGAGCTATGCACTCTTGTCGAAAGCGACCTACACACATACCTCGTTTATCCGGGCGGTCCGGGACCGGACACTGCCCGTAACTTTGAAATGTCCGTCACGCCAAATCACACATCCATTTTCATGAGGAAAGGCCATAGATATGGCATATGACGTCACTAACTCCACAAAAGTGACAAGTGAGTAGTAATGTTTCCATTGGAAACTTGCCCAAAGGGTGTCCGGCGGTAGACCGATGTGCCTGCAACTTCGGCGTCCGGATAACCGACGTATGAGTGTATAGTCAGGGCAACATGGTAGTACAGCCACTGTAGCAACCCGCTGCGCGCTTTATGGATTATTTGTGTTTGGCCTGGTTTACCATAGATTTTCAGATTTTTCCATTTTGCGTCACGCTTGCTTTTGCGGAGGTGTTCAGCACAGCGTACACCATGTTTCTCACTAAGTTGTATTCCCGCATACGCTTTTCTTGCACGTGCCTTGCGTTCGTATGAACCTTGAACTCTGCGGCACACCCAGTCCCGTACCGGCGTGCATTTGTACACACTGAGTTATCCGACTTGTTTATTTTTCTTCTCTGCCGTTGCCGTTCTGCTTCTTCCCCACTCGATTGACAACAACAAGTACTCTCTTTTCTACTCGTACAGTCTTGGTGTTCGTGGGTGGATTAGTATAGTAATGGGAGTCGCTATCCTCCAAACCACCACCAACACCATTACAGTCGTCGTTCTCTTACCCGTCTCCGCATACTCCTTGCCGACCGCCTTTGCCAGTCCGATGACGCCGGCTTTGCTTGTGCTATACGCACACATGCCGGCGTTGCCCTCCTTGCCTGCAATGGACGCTATGAGTAGAACGCGCCCGTAGTTCCTCTCCAGCATGTGCGGTATGCAGTGCTTGGTGATCAGGAAACTACCACGCAGGTTCACTGAAGCACGGCACACACGGAGAGAGACAGAGATAGAGAGACAGAGATAGAGAGAGACAGAGACAGAGAGATAGAGACAGAGATAGAGAGAGACAGAGAGATGGAGATCGAGAAGAATAGAGATAGAGATGAAGTCTGGAGAAAAAAAACGCTTCTGCCCAAACTAATCGGTGTCCGTTGCTTGTCGATTGGTTGTGTTTCTATCAATAATAGCCATCTTGTCTCCGCCTAGAATAATAGATAGAGAAAAGTGTTTTAAAACGGGTCAGCTCTGCTGCTCTGCTGTTTTCAAATGCACCTCTACCAACTACTGTACAGAGTTTCCTGTGAGGGCAACGAGTTAATTTGTGTCGGAATGTTTAACAAGTGGCAGGCTGATAGAGAGCTCATGGCCGTGCACGCACGTGCACACCCCACACATACACACACATATACATGTACACACACCACGCACACACACACACACGGACTCACCTCTGTAAACCCGGTCAAAGTCGTCCAGGGACACGTCCGCCACTTTGACGCCGTTCGGTCCGACAATGCCGGCACAGTTGACAACGGCATCGAGGCGTTCGTATCTTGCGACTACGCCAGTAACTGCCTCCTTGACGGACGCCTCGTCCGACACGTCCACTCGGTAATACACCACCTGAACAGAGAGTTAATGCAGAGACCTATACATAGTAAAACATGACGGAGGCGACGACCGCTCAAGAGACCTTACGAAACTGGTCCCCGCGTACAGTTGGTCTTCCTATCCAGGGTCATTTCAGTGGAAATAACTTTCTTTAGTTCTAGTTGGGCTGGTGGCCGCCTTATCAGAGTGGTCGCCGTTGCAGGTTTTATTGTACAGCGGACTCCACTTATAGTGAACTGGCATACAGATAATTTTGTTATAATTATAGCGAACCGTTGCCCATGTCCCTGTTAGTCGTGCATCAGAGGGTCGTACAAGCCCGGGTTGTGCGTAACTCTCTGTCACAAATCTACTCACACGTTCAAGTGCATGAACTGCTAAAGAAAATATTATTTTGGTTATATTTTGGTCAGTGGGTGGGTGGGCCCGGGAATCTCGATTTGTTTGGTCTCACCTAAGCAAAAATGCGCTAGTTTGTATTGAGTGGTGAACTGATGCTTCAAAGGAACACGAACAAGAAGAAATTTCAGTGGGCTAAAACAAAGGACAATACTCAATAGACCCATTGCGCGTTGCCAAATATGGAATGTATGAGTAATGCTTGTGACTACGCTGGGATCAGGGATGCACTGTTCAACACCCCACACGACCATGCCCCAGGTAGCTGTGTGGGCTGTTATGTGAGTACGCTGGGATCAGCAATGCACTGTTCAACACCCCAGACGACCATGCCCAGGTGGCTGTGTGGGGTGTTATGTGAGTACACTGGGATCAGCAATGCACTGTTCAACACCCCAGACGACCATGCCCAGGTGGCTGTGTGGGGTGTTATGTGAGTACACTGGGATCAGCAATGCACTGTTCAACACCCCAGACGACCGTGCTCAGGTGGCTGTCTGGGGATGTTATGTGAGTACGCTGGGATCAGGGATGCACTGTTCAACACCACAGACGACCATGCCCAGGTGGCTGTGTGGGGTGTTATGTGAGTACGCTGGGATCAGGAATGCACTGGTCAACACCCCAGACGACCATTCCCAGGTGGCTGTGTGGGGTGTTTATGGTACAAATTACAGCGAAGGACTAAAGGGACCGTCACTTAATTTTTGCCGACTACCCGCCAAAAAAATCTTTTCGTTTCACGTGTCAGACACGTCCGCGAGCGCGTACGATCGACTCGCGCGCGCCCGCGCTACCTTTCACGTCAGGCTATCTGTTCACGCCACATGGCTGGATAGCGCGTACATGCAAACATGATTGAAGACTTGCAAAATCAATTTTTTTCCAAGTCCAGGCGCTAGGCCTAGGCAGCACTAATCAGTCTAATGCCTAATGCCCAGGCAGCTGACTTTATTTTCGGAGAAACACTACTCATTGTAGTAAAAAGTAACAATGCGATATCATCTAGGAAGGATCGCTACCCTAACGCGAAGGAAAGGCCTTGCGCGGCTGCTCTACGAAGTGTTGAAGAAAGACTCATCAAAGTTTAATAGTTGGTGGACGAACAACTCGCTGGCGCCGGAAAACTTGGCCCCCAACGATGGTATTTGGTGAATCATCAAGCATAATGTCTTGTAGCAGTGTTCACCGAGGAAGGAGGACGCTCTAGTCGCTGCTGTTGTCCGTTTCATCCACGTTGGGCGTTAGCTGCACCGCGCCTATTGTGTTTTAGTATTCCATGGACACACATTAGCATTCAGAGCGATTGTGGAGCCACAATTTACTTCACACAGCGTTGTATTGTCCACGAGCGCAAACTTCATTATCAGCAGTAACTGTTACTCTTCATCCTACATGTAGACTTGGAGTATACACGGCCTTGTCACGACAGCGACAGCTCTACAGAGTGTTCAAGTGAGAAACATAAATTTCTATTGTTGGTGGACGAATAAATGGCTGGTTCCGAAAAAACGCGGCCTGCACCGATGGTGTTTGGTGGATCATCAAACAGGGTGACCAGCAGTGTTCACCGAGGAAGGAGAATGCACTCGCCACCACTCCGATTCATCCAAGTGGGCGTTAGCTGCGCCGCGCCTATTGTGTTTTAGTATTCCATGGACGCACACTAGCGTTCTCAGCGATTGTGGAGCCACAACATATCTTCATGCGGCGTTGCACTCTCCAAGAGCAGAAACGTCAGCAGTGACCCATCATCATACATGTAGATTTGGAGTATACACACCATGCGCCAATGGGCCTTGGCACAACAGCGGCAGCTCTATGGAGTGTTCAAGTGAGAAACATTTGTTTCGACTTTTGGTGGACGAACAAATCGTCGGTGCCGAAAAACGTGGCCTGCGCCGATGGTGCTTGAAACATCAAGCATGGTATGTGGTGACTGTCAGTGTTGATCGAGGAACTTGGAAGGAGAACACTTAGGCCGTCGACCGTTCATCCATTTCGTTAGCTGCACCAAGTCTATTGTGTCCTTGTATTCCATGGGCACACAATCATGAAGCATGGCGTCTGAGCTGTGTTCACAGAGCGGGGAGATGCTCTTGCTGCTATCTTATCCGTCCTGTGTATTCCCAAGTGCCGAAGGCTCACAACGATGGTGTTGGACAAGTCAGATAAAATAGAGTCAACGTAAGTACGCATGTGTACTCTTACTGACTGAAACATAAGTGGGGTGTAAGAGCTAATTCAAATGGTGTCGTGACATTCTCATGTACGAGGTTAGTGTGTAGTACTTGTTACGTACTGAATTCTGTGACTTTGTTTTGTCTCCATATACTGCATGCATTCACGTTTCACAGTTATCAGTTTGACCCTGAGTTCATGTCTGTTATCCCGTGTCTCCTCTACTTATTTTTGTTTCCACACGGTTCATGGTGTAGCGCTGCACGTGTTCCGTTAGTTAGAACTTCAGCATAAATCGCAACTACTTGTACTTTCAGACATGTCACGTGATTGTTGCCAGGGTTTGAGCCAATCAGAGCGTTTACAGGCAGGGCCTGAACCCCTGATCATGCCTTGCCTGCCAGCTCTACTACGATATTACATGTCACGTACCCCCGCGCGCGCACGGTTCTCCTGCGCTTGGGCTTGCTTTCCCTTGGTAGTTGGAAGTCAGTGGCTGTTAGTACTCTTAGATTATGTACAGAAAGTGGTGGACATCACGCAACTGCAGTGTAAATTAAAGGGTGGTTGTCAACTGACAACCGCATAATTTTTCGACATAATTAATAAAAGAATTTTCATCTAAAGAGTGAAAAGCAACTAAATAGAGCGGTTGTCGGTTGACAACCCCCCTTTTATTTAGATTATGTATCTGAAGTAAACACAACGTAGAAATATCACAATTGTCTCTTGTGTATTATATCCGTCTGATGTCACCAGATCGTCACACGGTGCTGTGACCAAGATACGGATCATGCCGAACGCTGATTCAACTGGACGAATCGCGAGGCTTTTCAGATGCAGGGACACAATGGAAACTGAATGACTTCAGAACAGCACTGAAGCGTTATGTTATCATGAAAGACGCCTTTCTGCGCCGCACAAACACAGGCGGTACTACAGCAGAAGATGTCACTCACTATTCTGCAGGGGCACTGGTGACAGGCGCATGCAAGTTCACCAGAAGGAAGCGGTCTGATGTTAACTGGAATGCCAGCAGTATGAGAGGGTGTTCATTCTGCGGCGGATCTCACCTGGACAAGAGCTGCGCGAAATACACAACAGTAGCACAGCGGAAAGAATAACTGATTGAACAGAAGCGTTGCTTTGTGTGTTTGCGCACAGGGCACCGGTCAACTCAGTGCAAGGCCACCCGCAAGTGTAATGTGTGTTCTCGCATGGGTCACCCGGCAATCAGAGTCACCATCATGTCACGATCTGCCCTGAATCTCAACAGAAATCTGACAGAAGTACCAACATAGTAGCTGACCAGCTTGTGGCTGACGAGGTACCAGCATCTAGCGCAACAGCAGCTAGTGCAGCATCAACCAGTATCGCCATTGACCGTAAGATAGTCAGTCGTCTTGATCGGTGCAGATTTCCTCTGGGAGTCTCAGTTGACGTGGAGCACCAGAGGACTTCCGCCAGGACTACAGTTTCTGCCTACCACAGTCGGTTTTGTGGTGACTGGCCGAACACGTCACTCCAAGCACTCAGCTACGCCGATGAGCAGCCATGCCAGCTATCGTTTCTCTAACTGATGCAACTTCCGACTCCTGCACCATCCCAGATCTGTGGGACCTAGACTGTGTTGACATCCAGGATTCAGGCAATCTTACTAACAACGACCTAGCCATTAGGCAATTCATCATTGTTCTACGATTTTGCCTGCCACCAATCGTCATGACCTGCGATACTGAGAAGGCCATTTTACAAATCAGTGCCAACCCAGCATACAGAGTTGCGACACGATTTCTGTGGTTCGCCAACTCCGACAGTCCATCAGTCACCCCATCCAGCCTGTTCACGCTCATAAGCAGTCCATTTCTGCTTGGCGCGTCTATACAGCATCATTTGGCACAGCAAGATGACAAAACAGCTAGCAGTGGCTGTTGGTGAGAACATTTTCTGCTGTGCCATTGGAGTGTGCACGATACACGAACCCTGCTCTTTTGTTGGCACCGCCTATGTAACTTACTGCATAGGGTGCAAGGTGACCGTTGTCGGTTTACATGTACTCCAGTTATTACACCGTGCATGCACTGAGTCTGTGCTGCACTGTGCATCCATAGGTGTTCGTTTGCGGTAGCGCAAGGTGACACGCAAGGTTGATGGATTGTTTTGTCCGCTGCTATTCGAAGCTCTCGGAGTCGGAAGCGTTAGCTCTGTTTCCCCTGTTCCTCCCTGCGCGGAGTCTGTAGTTCTGGCTTGCAGTTGCTGTTACATGCATGTTGGCAGTTGCATGTGTGTTTGGTTTTCAGTTGTCTTTATTAAAATTTTGTTTTCTGTGGACGACAGTTCAATATTCTAGCAGTTGTTGCACTTCCTACTTCTGAAGTACATTCCGTAGTTATCTGCGGTTGGTGTTTGAGAGAGCAAACTGTGTTCTTCTCCAGAGTGGAGTAAACCATTCGCTTGTGTCTGAGGAAAACCCTGTGTGTTCACGAAGAGGTTGACTTGCCTGTAGAGTGAAAGTACCACATGGTCACATGGTCCACAAAATCTTAGAACTACTTGTAACTTAGGGTCTTCTGGCGTATGGTATAATTATATGAGCAGCATGAGAGTGAAGTAAAAGACTATTAGCTCAAACATTCAGTCTTTCAAGAGTAGGTGTTTCATCACGGAATAGGTTCTGCAGTTCACTTACACACTGCAACAATGGACCAGCAGTGTCCAGCATACAATAGAGTCATGTGAATATGTACCGTATGCATACTCACAGCTGCAAGGCCAGCGCCCCGTGGCTGCTTGACTTCTCAATCGATATAAATATTCACAACAGTAAGACTCTGTGATCAATCAGAGCTGTGCTTCGAAGTAGTCACAAATGCCCCATGATCAGTCACAAAACAAAACTTGGCAACCAGTCACAGCTTCCACGGTGCCCCAAGACCAGTCACCAGAAATGACCGTAGTAAATCTGCAGGGAGTTTCATAATCTGTTCATTGCAGAGTCCACTATGCTATGATTCAAGAGGGGGGTAGCGTTCCTGCGGATGCGGAAAACTTGGCTGGAGCCCGAGTGTCACGTGAACCCTGATTTTTAAGACTTATTATTTGTTTTACGATGAGCCTATTATACGCGATACAGGCTCAGAACACACTTTTCGTCTAGTTGGCATATCAGGGATATAGAGCGGAGCAGCCCATATCCCCAATTATGACACGCGAGTAATAGTGAAATACGATTGGCGTATTGTGCTGGACTGACTGCGGTAATGTAAAGCTAAAATAAAGCAGTCAGTTTGCCCTTAGCATGGCCTTGTCATGAGGGTGCCACATCCGTGGAAAGGCAACATGCCGGCTAATCTCCCTGAGAAGTTGAGTGGTTATCAGCAGGCGATAACGCTGTGTCGATGATGACCTGTTGATGCCCGACAGGAACCTTGCGAGGAGAGTCATTGGGCCTGACGGGTAGGTAAAGCCAACTTCCACATGAAGTTTGCGGATGGCCGACATGTAGACATGGACTGATCGGGGCTGAAAAGTTCTGAACAACTCGGCAGCAAAATAACACATAAAGTAAAAAGTCATCACCTGGCAATGGATTCCAGTCATGCCCTTGACAGAACTGGAAGTAACGGGTATCGGCGGAAAAAATATTTCCGGCTGGTGCCAGTGCTGCTAGCTGCAGCACGGAGTCCGGCAACTGAGAGTTGGCAAGACTGGCTGATCTGGCTCAGCTGCTGCTTCCGGAGCCCTCAATGGTTCAAACACCATCGGCGCAGGCCACGTTTTTCGGCACCGACGATTTGTTCGTCCACCAAAAGTCGAAACAAATGTTTCTCACTTGAACACTCCGTAGAGCTGCCGCTGTTGTGCCAAGGCCCATTGGCGCATGGTGTGTATACTCCAAATCTACATGTATGATGATGGGTCACTGCTGACGTTTCTGCTCTTGGACAGTGCAACGCCGCATGAAGATATGTTGTGGCTCCACAATCGCTGAGAACGCTAGTGTGCGTCCATGGAATACTAAAACACAATAGGCGCGGCGCAGCTAACGCCCACTTGGATGAATCGGAGTGGTGGCGAGTGCATTCTCCTTCCTCGGTGAACACTGCTGGTCACCCTGTTTGATGATCTACCAAACACCATCGGTGCAGGCCGTGTTTTTTCGGAACCAGCCATTTATTCGGCCACCAACAAAAGAAATTAATGTTTCTCACTTGAACACTCTGTAGAGCTGTCGCTGTCGTGACAAGGCCGTGTATACTCCAAGTCTACATGTAGGATGAAGAGTAACAGGTACTGCTGATAATGAAGTTTGCGCTCGTGGACAATACAACGCTGTGTGAAGTAAATTGTGGCTCCACAATCGCTCTGAATGCTAATGTGTGTCCATGGAATACTAAAACACAATAGGCGCGGTGCAGCTAACGCCCAACGTGGATGAAACGGACAACAGCAGCGACTAGAGCGTTCTCCTTCCTCGGTGAACACTGCTACAAGACATTATGCTTGATGATTCACCAAATACCATCGTTGGGGGCCAAGTTTTCCGGCGCCAGCGAGTTGTTCGTCCACCAACTATTAAACTTTGATGAGTCTTTCTTCAACACTTCGTAGAGCAGCCGCGCAAGGCCTTTCCTTCGCGTTAGGGTAGCGATCCTTCCTAGATGATATCGCATTGTTACTTTTTACTACAATGAGTAGTGTTTCTCCGAAAATAAAGTCAGCTGCCTGGGCATTAGGCATTAGACTGATTAGTGCTGCCTAGGCCTAGCGCCTGGACTTGGAAAAAAATTGATTTTGCAAGTCTTCAATCATGTTTGCATGTACGCGCTATCCAGCCATGTGGCGTGAACAGATAGCCTGACGTGAAAGGTAGCGCGGGCGCGCGCGAGTCGATCGTACGCGCTCGCGGACGTGTCTGACACGTGAAACGAAAGGATTTTTTTGGCGGGTAGTCGGCAAAAATTAAGTGACGGTCCCTTTAGTCCTTCGCCAAATTACATCATTGCGCAATGGGTCCAGTAAGACAGATTCGTACATTGGACAAATTTCCGCTCACGCAGAATACCGATACCAAGGAACGAGTAATACGGATGGGGGAGTTGAAAATGGGAAAAGTCTGAAGAATAAATTGATTATCACCAACAGGATTCGAACCGGCGACCCTCGTTTATGGCCTGCGATGCTCAGCCACTAAGCTGCTGACTAAACCGTATGTTCCCCTGGGCCCTGGTGCAGAGAGGATGGAGTGTCACATCGCTGTGCTTGTAGTCTACAGCCACAGCCACTGTTGCCAGTCCATAATTATAGTGATGATGTAGACTGATGAATTGTTTTTTTTTTGTTTTTTGTGCGTCCATGGAGCTATGAAGCCGAGACCTCTGGTCGGTGGAGCTTAATGGGCCCCATCACCACACTCCATTATTCACCCCAGGGTCTGGAGATATGTGGATTTTGTAGAGAAAAAAAAATAAAAACAAAAACAATGCATCAGTCTACATCATCACTGGAGATGCTTTGGCGACGCCGCGGACTACTCGCGCCACAGCACTGCACTTGCGATTCACGCTGCATACTGGGTACCCATGCTCGCTGGTCACATCGGATCAACATGACCCTGCACTGTTCGGTACGGGCTGAGGGCGCTGCCCCCCCCCCCCCCCCCCCCCCCCCCCCCCGCCTGGGCGGTCAATCGACTGGGTTTCCATGTCCACGACAGTAGGAGGGCGACACCCAGCCATGGTAAGCATGATGTAATCGCATACATTATGAATGTATGATTGATTGTACTCCATTCAGCCTTGCCGGGCACTCGCCTAGGCCAGGCTAGGGCTTTAGACTAGTACTAGTACTACAGTCCTGCTCAATGAAATCCAGCCGCGTCACTCGAGTTTGCGCCTTGCATCCTTTCCCAGCCCAGCGTTCACAGGTCTAGGGATGCGTAACGCCCGGCATGGCGTACTTGACTTGAGTGATACGACTGGATTTCATTGAGCTGTACACGTACTGTACTACTACTACAGTACTAGTACTAGCAGTGACAGTACTGCAGACTTACCTCGCCGCTACACTCACTGTCGTCAGTCATGGCCTGCGCCACTGCCTTGCCCTTGCTCTCTTCGGCGATGTCGAATATGGCCACGGCTCGGGCACCTTCCTGCGTGCTGAGTCGCTCCGTGATGGCTTTGCCCAGGCCATCAGCACCCCCGGTTACAATGATGACCTGCTCGGCGAATCGGGAACTCGCAGCGCCCCGGCCGTCGCCGGCAGCCGATTCCGGCGCGCGCTTAGCTTGTGGTTCATCCGCCATGGTGAAGATAATCACCCAGTTAGCTTCCCGAGATTTCTTGCTCTTGAGTCTTGTGCGAGGGCAGCTAATACTACTTATTGTAGTATTCTTTTCTCTGTCCCAACTCCCAACCCAAACATAGCACAACAGCCAGATCTAGAATATTTTTTGCCTATGTTTGTGTTGTGAGCTCTTTGAACGCCAGGCGTTACATGCTCATTCGATCGATCGAGGCCTCGAGGGCCACTCGAAGCCGCCAAGGCCGCCAAAAAGAAAAGAAAAAAGATCCACACTCAGTCCACAGATCTATCTAGGTGCACCGACCGTGCACCTGTGGCACGCGTGCACGTGCGCTTCTACCCACTCGATCGATCTCCTCACTACAGCTCAGCTCACTGCTAGCTGTACTGATCCAGCTGGCCAGACGAGACAGAGCTAGCTAGTTAGGAGGCAGAGTGATGGAGAAAAGACAAAAATATAATTTGTTCGACAGTCATGCCCTTGGCCTTGGGAAAAGGAAACCTAGTTTTACTTTAGTTTAGGACGGGGAGAAAAATAACGTCGGCGCATTTGCAAGCCCGGTGTGAGCCCAAACCAAAACAATGTCTGTGGGACTGCCAAAATAATAATAATACATGTACAAGACAAATATATAAAGAGGACGAAACAGTTCTGTGCGCAGATTGAGTAATAATACGCGAAGTGATAATGTGGTGGTATGATGCCTTGCAGTAACCAGTTGCACCAAGAGTACCGTAAAGTACCGCCAGAGCGCCCCGTCTCGCCAGAGCGCCCCACCTTGATTTTACAGCCAAGAGAAGAAAATCGTATGGCAGAATGCTACTAAGTTTGTACGATGTGAGAACCTTCGTGTACTAAGGTCACACTTGGTATGTTTTTATGTTGAGCTCGAAGGTAAACTGGGTACGGATTGACTGCACAATGTGCAATGTTTGTACAAGGTCCGTGTCGTATGACCTACAGACAGGAATCCACCTCCACAAGGCGGCCACGAAAGGACGAGATGGTGGGGCGCTCTGGCGGTACTTTACGGTACATAAAACGGTTTATGTACTCTTGGTTGCACTGATATGTGTATGTGTGCAACACGCAGCTGCACGGTAGCTGCTGGTGAAGGGCCGGTGGTCTCCACAGGCACAGGGCGAATACATGTACTTGATGACGAGCTGCCTGGAAGCGGAGCACACACAACAACGTATTAACGACTATCAAGTAGAGCCTAGTTTTCAACTTTTCAATGATTACAGAATTTCTGATGAGTCTGCAGCTAGCTGGACTGGTGCACAAAATAATTATTTGCCTGTTGCGCACAGCACAACTACTTCCTGTCGTGGCTGCACGCAGGTGTGTACTATACTCAGTTTCACTATAAAAATAGATCTACCACCAAGAGTATCCCACTCTTGGTACCACGAGTACAGTACTGTCAGGACTCAGTAGCTAAAGCTTGCCTTCACGGCAGTTCACGCCCAAGCTACCACCACCACTACTAGGCACTAGTACTGTAGTCTAGTAGTAGTCGGCACTACGCACTGCCACTACAACTGTAGATCTAGTCAACAGCCTCTTTTACGGGCAAATTAAACACAATGAATATTTTTTCCCAAGTGTTCCAAAAACTTCAACTCAAAGTTCTAGAAAGAAAAGAAAAAAACGAAAAAACACGCAAAAAAAACAGCATAATAATGTATACCTACTTAGGTAAACAGCAGCAAGTTCAACTTCAAGTCAATATTCCAGTCACTGTTACCGCTCGTGCACGCTAAGCCGGTACCCGGGCCTCCACCACTGCCAGTGCAGCAGAGGTATCACCCACAGCCAAGGCAGGCTGGCTAGAGAGCCTTCTGCACCCACGGAGGCACATGATGCAGGACCGCAAGAGGGAAAAAGCGATCCTGCACCTGACGAAAGCCATCACATGAGAATACTGCTCCCCTCTTTTCGCCGCCAACAGAGAGGCCACTCGTTTGTAGAGGGCCGTTGCTGCCTTGCCCATGCCTCCACTCGCAGACATCACAGCCGGAACAAAAGTGGCATGCTCCACTTGTCTCACTCTCTCTTCGTAGTGCCTTCGTTTCTCTCTTTCATGTCGATGATACACAGTGGTACGTGGTGCAGACTGATTTGAGCGAGCATAAGGATTAAAAACCCGGACATCAATAAGGGTTCGCTCAAATCGACTGCCCCACAAACCACTGGCAGCGACATCAAGGCGTGCATGATCCTCCACGTTGGCCGTTCGGTATTGCAATCGCTCACCGGTCAGTGGCTGCAGCGTAGGCTCCGTGGACACATTGCTACAGACTTGGTGTAGGAGCTGTGCGGTAGTGTCACGAATGGCATTGTGTCGTATGGTGGGAAATCCTCCATGAGGACAGGATAGTGAGTGAGAAACGCTCACCTCTTGGCCACATGAACAATGAGTCGGTATTCTCGCCGGCGTCCATCCATAGCGGAGACACAGGCCGTCCCAGAACTCTTGCTTCGTGAGGCTGAAACCGTACTTCTTCAGCGGACGACATGTTAACCAGCTAGATGAACCCTTCTCTCTAGCGATATCGATGACATTACGCAGACTCGCGGATGCATTCTGGACCACGTCCTCCATTGCCGCTGCCTGCGCTTGACGGGACTCTGCCTTGACTTCTGCCTTCATCTTGCGCATCTTAGTTAAGCAATCGTCAAGTGCAGTGTCACCAGACAGAATCTTGCTGGTGAGAGACTCGGTAATGCAAACTGACGAGTTGTATTGCCCACACAAGGACATAGGGCTCGTGATACCCAAGCCGCCCAAACGACACGGGAGAGCGAACACGCGCCGGAGATCCCCACCAGGAGGTGAGCGGCAGGTCAACGCTGGAATCAGTTTAGTTCTAATGGCACCTTCAAGTGGCTCCAGCAGGTGCTCGGGGATGTCCATGGTTCTGCATAGAAAGGTCCATTTCCCTCTCAGTCCTGATACAAACGCTGAGTAGGCTGCCTGGGGCTGAGTCTGTGCAATAGTTGCCAGCCGATTGACCTCTTGCACCCAGGTCTCTACCTTTCGTTGAATATAGGTCTCCTTGTAAGCCTCAGTGCCCACTGCAGCACCGAGGTAGCGTACTCCCTCAGTCGTGATAGCTACTCCGGTGTCTTTGAAGAGATCCCTCGCCTCAACAAGGCAATGTTCCTTCACCACAAGAACAGACTTAGCTGGGTTCACAACGTAGCCATATGCCGGTCCCTGCACCGTCAGGACATCCCACCACTGACGTACCCGATTCAAACGGCCCGCTGCAGAGGAATCATCTGCGAACCAGGACTGCACTGTCTCCTCGCCAGCTGCTGCACGGATCAGGGGTAGCATGCCCAACGCATACATATGCATGGCGAGTGGATCACCCTGCGTCGTGCCTTCTTCGGAAAGAATGCACTCACCATCGATGTATAGATGCGCAGGTTCCCTGTACGTATTGATCAATATTGTAGCGAGGGGTGGACACAAGTGCCGGACGTTGCGAAGGCAGACTTGTCGATTCAACCGATTGAAAGCGTTGGACGCATCAGCCATAATAATGCCGTCAGTATCATCCTCGGCAAAAGCAGATTGCATTGCATGCACTCCCGCCTCTATGCCGCAGTCTAAGCCAGCACATAACTGGTCACATCCGACTGCCCCCTGCACAGCATGACCGGCAATGGAGAGGATTGCCTTACTGATAATTCGTCTTACAACCTCTCCAATACCTATTGGCCGAACACCTGGGCACTTATCCAGCGCTATCAGGCGGCAAGCTGTAAAGGCGGTAAGCGAATCGGGATCGATGTATGCAGTTGCCATCCGCCTGGCACAAGAGGCCAGAGCGTCGCACAAAGTGGCGGAGGCGTCTGCGAAATTGGAGCACATGTGCCTCCAAATTTCTGCATCGACACCACTGGGACCGGCCGCACCCTGGGTGTGAAGCGCTGCCTTTCTAATTGCCTCCCGTCCAAGGCCACTGAAGTACACCGGATGGGGTTGTGATGGAGGCTCACCTGGTATAAGGACGGTGTCATCAGCTGGCTCTGGTGATGGATGCTTCTCCTTGAGTATGTCCCTGACGGTCTTGCCATCAACTATGTCGGTAATCGAATGAACACCACCACCACCGTCGTCATTTGCCAGGGTGTGGAGTGCCGTACTAAGCTTTCCAGCAGTAACGCTGTCGGCAAAATGCCTGGCAGGATCCGCAGCGCCCCTCCGCTCAGCCCTGGACGATTTCTGTTTGGAGGTCTGGATGGTGTCTGCCTCGCTCAATAATCCCATCACATCTCCGGTAGACCATTGTTGTAGTCGTTGCTCAAGAAGCGTGCCATATTTCGAGGACTCAGCACCTGGCTTCTGTAACATAAGTGCCTGAAACACTGTCGCTATCTTGAAAGCTCTCCGCCAGTAGCTTCCACCGTCACCAAAGCAAGAGTAGAGCGCTGATAGAGCTGTTATGTACCGCCGTCCTACATTCCCCAACGGAACCTGAAACGCGTTTGGCCGGTATTGTACACATTTATTGTAAGCAATATCTATCAGCTGGTCCGTCTCCTCCGCCGAGAGCTGCCCAAGCTGGAAGGACGGCGAGAATTCATCCACCTGCTCAGGATCCGGGAGGTTGCAACGGATGTCCTCTACACGTAATACATCTACGTCAGCCATACTACTCTCTTCCAGATGGGACACCACGAGGCCATCCATCGTCGGATCACTGATGTGCTGGTGATAATTGGTGGATTCGTCTATCGGTATCCGAAACCCCATGGGCTCCTCAGCAGCCTCCCGGCCCTGGGTACAGGTGTCATCCAATGAAGCTAGCAGGCGTGCAGCTTGGCTGTCAGTGATGTCAGACGAGTTTGCATCGACTTGCTCTGGTGTCGCCTGCACGGGCGCTACAGCGTTTTCATCGCTACCAGCTACTATGGAAACGATGGTAGGGCCGCATGCACTCGATGATCGAGACGCCGACGATGATTGACATGGTGACTGATGTTGTTGTACGACCGTGGTCAACGGTGGAGGTCCCGACAACGGCTGAGATGCCGACGGCGGCTGCGGCACGGACAAGTTCAACAGTCGAGATGCCGGGGACGGTTGTGACACTGACGACACGGGGCTCGCGTTGTTTTTGCATCTCCCTTTTCTCGAAGGGACACAATTCGTACATGTGCGACCCTCCCTGGTGCAGGAGCACCCGATGCAAGTGCCATTACCATTGCACCGGCAACACTGGCCACTCTGCATACTCTGCATGGGGAGAAGTCGAAGTCGGGAGACTCGGAGGCCGTTGCAGCTCAGCGAACTGTTTCTAACTAAAGGAAAGCTACAAAAGCCATAACAGCGCAAATGGCTCAAATGACAACATATGAACAGTAACAAGAAAGAGAGTAAAAGAAAGACTGTAGAAGACAACCGAGAGGATAATCTAGCCCCGAGCCTAACCCTGGGGAAACTCAACACGAAATGAACAATCCAAACGAGCAATGCACTGCAAATACCACAGAACGACACCAAACTGGTGACGAAAAGACGAAGGGAAAAGGCAATTACTGAATGAAGGAACACAACACAACCCAATACAGCAGTCAATAACGCGCACAGTACCATCAGATTCCTCCAAGATATCCTCCAAGCCTCATCCACCGTCAGAGCCCAAAAATCGTCAACCGTCCACCAACCGTCCTTGAGTAGATCTAGTACAAGGCACTAGTGCCGGAACGCAGGTAGACCCAGGCCCATGTTTCCCGCAGCTAGGCACATGTGCCTATTAATAATAATTATTTCAGGCAGTGGAGCGCTGATGTTGCTCAAGTACTGCACTGACTGAGGATAGGACTGCAAAGTCGTTGCAGGAGACGGAGACTGGGTCCTTGATTGTTTGAGTACCCAAACTTTTGACGTTTTGTTCGTTTGACTGATCCAGGTGTGTGTGCGTGCCGCGGCGGCGATGAGGCAGTGGAAGAACATGTAGCAAATTATTATTTTATACTAAAAAATCATACGGTTTGTTTCTATTGCATGATTTGGATCAGGAGATCCCCTTGACAGGTCATCGCCTCTGTGAGATCCTTCAAAATAAAGATTAGGATTGACAGCACAATGCCAATGGCCCGCTGTGAGTCGGCAGTGCGTGCGCTGGCACTGTTGGTGCTGTGCGTCGTGACGTGCAACGTTCTCGTGTCCTCCATATGGCCTATGCTAGTGGCCAGTCTGCAGAGAGAGTGTCCGGCACAGGCCACCACCGCCGCTAGCGCTGTGACCTCCGCTGACGTGACCGCTTTCAGAACGACGACGGCATCAAGAGCCCACACCACTGTGCCACGTGTCCGGAAACAAAAACAAGAACAGCACCAGCAGCAGCAGCAACAACAGCATCAGCACCAGCAGCAACAGCAGCCGCAGCCATGGCTTGCAGGCGTAGCCATGACTACCAGCAACAGCAGGGAGGCCTACAATAATGTGGCTACAGACCCCGAAGCGGACGATTTAGAAGCAATGGCGGCCGCAATTCTTCAAGAAGAAATAGAGCGGCTGCAACAAGAACGCGACTTGAAGCTGCTTCTCGTTACCCAGCTTGAGACGGAAGTTGCTGAAGGAGATGTGAAATCTAGAAAAGAAGGTGAAGGCACAACCAGAGGACCACTCAACAATGCCGCCAGCACGGCCGTGTTGCCGTATCGACAGAAGTACGATGCTTTCGCAGACTTGGACGAGAATGCCACCGAGGTGCACGTGTGGAGCGCGTTTGACCGTGCGTTCTTCTTCGACCGCGGGCCCAACCCCCAGGACCCGCCAAGCGGACGACTCACTCGCGCTCGCCGGGTTGAAGTCGAACTGGTGGTACGCACATCCGTGAAGTCACTACCAGAGTTGCAAGGACGAGGGAACGCTACGCCGAGAGCCACTCTCTTGTTCGGCTACAAGCAGACCGCTCGTCATCTGGGCACAAGGTACGATCTATATTTTCAGCTATCAACTGAACAGGGCACGTCCGTACAGAGAGTACAGCTGATACGTCCCCTTGGCGATCTGATACTTCACCGTGACAAAGGCTTTGTTAGAGCGGCACCGTCGAAAGCGTCGTCACGGCAACGCACGCCACGCCTACACGTTCTAGTACCGGCGAGCACTCGTGGTCAGCTTCACCGCCTGTCTGAGTTCATTGCTCACCTGGTCAACACTACTGCTGCCTCAAGCCGAGCGCGGCAAACATGGCTCTTGCGAACAGTCACGTTCACTCTGATCGTCATGACTACCGACAAACGCACCCTGGAACACGTGACTAATGTCGTGCGCAACAGTGTCGGTGAGGCGTCGCTGGCAGATCGTTTCAATGTTGCGTTTATCAACGCCAGTGAGTTTGATTGGCGCTTGGCAATTAAACGGTTGCCATCACGACATGCTCAGGGTGGCAGCAGCGACGATACTGAAGACATTCTCGCTGTCCTGGAAACGGATCATCTGGCCAGTCCGACGACCCTGCAGCGTTGCCTAGCGATGGTGTCGAGTGGCAAGCGTGCGTTCTGGCCAGTGCCGCTCCGCCTGTACAATCCACGGCTTGTTCCCATGGCAACGATGCGCGGCAAGCGGCTGAAGGTGGCAAATGGTCTTGGCACATGGCAAGTGGATGACTTCTCGGCATTCTGCATGGCCAGGTGAGCTCTGCGATTGGCTCTACTGTAAAACCAGCAATTTCCAGTGCTGTATTATTTTCGGTGTTTCCCAAAATCAACGGTTCGGTAGCGCGAGAAAAAAATTCGGTAAAACCAGTTTCCCAGATTAAAAAATACATTTTCGCACACTGCGTGACACCATCACTGACATGGCGCCATGGAATGGTTGAATTTTAGGTTCCGTTTTTGATTTAACATGAATATCGCGGATTATTACTTCGGTATTAAAGGGCAATCTTTACCTAAAATAAATGGCGTCACGATTTATTGAAAGTGGTATAGTTGGTGGTACGAGTGTTCAAAACCATTTGAACTTCATACTGTTCATCTTCTTTTTGACATGCTCTCTTTCCATCGTCCTTAGCTTTTGTTTGTTGAGAGCTGTTTTGGCTTTCTCCTGTACCTCTGGGGGATGCCAAGTGATGGTTTTGAGAGGCTGGTGATGGCTGTGAGCGAGAGTTTGCCGATCGGCGTCGTCCTCGCTGTAGCGATGAAAATACTAGTTACTGCGCACCTGGCAGATATCACAACACGTCGGAGCGTCCAGAAGAAAAGGAATCTTGGGTTTTCACTGGAATCTAGTTCCTCCAGCATCGTGTAGCCCACCGTCGGTGAATGGCGGTCCAGAAAGGTCGAACCTGGTCTTCTGCAGCACCTCGCAGTCCTGCGAGGCACATCGTATACGCCTGCCATGTTTTGTACAAATAAAACTCATGCAGTAGTGGACTCTACAGTGATGAGTCTCAGCCTGTATGCTGCAAAAGACACAGGAAATGTGACTGGTGTCTGTACACTCAGTGAGTGGACGGCAACACCCCAGTCTTCTCCTGCAGGATCTGTTTGACATTGACATTATGCAGTAGGTCGGCATTGACCTGGTTTGGCAGCTATCGTAATAGTATCTGCCTGGTTGGATGTAGCAGGTTGGCGTTTGCTCGTCGTCCAGTCCGGAATTTTCTTGTAACTCACGGTGGAGTACGCGCAGGGTTTGTGATCATCCCTGTTCACTTCAATATTATCAAACACAACGTTCCCTTTGTCACTCATCTTATCCTAAGTACTGAATTTGCTGACAATATTGCACCACACTTGTCACAACCTACCGCCACTGCTGGCGGTGGCGACTCGTTTGTCAATGGCGGTGTCCAGGCTGACTGACTAGCTTCGAGACAACGGCCTCGTTGTCAACCCCGCGACAGCCTAAAGGTTGATTTTATCGATCCAGCCTCAGCGCCATGTTGACGATGCCCTAGTGACTGTGTGTCATGGATTGCCTAGCCATCAGCGGTCATTGCCGTCCACCTTGGTGCAGCCCTCAACAACTGGCTCAGCCCATGGGAGTCTCAAGTGGACAAAGTTGTTGCCAAAGTAGCTCAGAAGATTGGTGCATCGTGGTGTAGGTGAGCACATAACTAGGACTTCCCAGCGCCTATTTGTCCAGGCTGCGATACTATGTGACATGCTGTACTGCACATTCTTTTCAGCACTGCAAGGCCGGCAGCTGGACCGACTGCAGGGGCCGCGCACATGCAGGCCGCCTGTTGCCAGTGCAGCATTCTGGAACGTTCCTTCCTTCTGAGATCCGTGGAATAATAACTTTCTTTGCTTCAAGGCAAGTTGCTTACCTTTCTGTTGTGCTCCCAGTGTCCTTACAACAATAACCTACAGCAATGTTTTATTTTCCTTTCCATTCCCCAACCAATTAATACTACAATGTCGATTCTATTTCTGAATACTTTAGTGTGTGCCCGTGCACGCACGTGTGTGTGTGTATACCTCACTCGCCACTCGAAGTTCTGTTCCCCATTACTGGAACACTGCCTGTTCTTTCAGTACCTGCCATCATCTGCGGATGGGCATTCAATGATTGTATTGTGTGTGTGTGTGTGTGTGTGTGTGTGTGTGTGTGTGTGTGTGTGTGTGTGTGTGTGTGTGTGTGTGTGTGTGTGTGTGTGTGTGTGTGTGTGTGTGTGTGTGTGTGTGTGTGTGTGTGTGTGTGTGTGTGTGTGTGTGTGTGTGTGTGTGTGTGTGTGTGTGTGTGTGTGTGTGTGTGTGTGTGTGTGTGTGTGTGTGTGTGTGTGTGTGTGTGTGTGTGTGTGTGTGTGTGTGTGTGTGTGTGTGTGTGTGTGTGTGTGTGTGTGTGTGTGTGTGTGTGTGTGTGTGTGTGTGTGTGTGTGTGTGTGTGTGTGTGTGTGTGTGTGTGTGTGTGTGTGTGTGTGTGTGTGTGTGTGTGTGTGTGTGTGTGTGTGTGTGTGTGTGTGTGTGTGTGTGTGTGTGTGTGTGTGTGTGTGTGTGTGTGTGTGTGTGTGTGTGTGTGTGTGTGTGTGTGTGTGTGTGTGTGTGTGTGTGTGTGTGTGTGTGTGTGTGTGTGTGTGTGTGTGTGTGTGTGTGTGTGTGTGTGTGTGTGTGTGTGTGTGTGTGTGTGTGTGTGTGTGTGTGTGTGTGTGTGTGTGTGTGTGTGTGTTTCATTCAGAATCAGATCCGCTATCGTTGCTATAAAAGAAAATCTGTGGGTTCACATCCAGTGCATTTGTAGATTTGCGTGCTTTTCTCGCCACGGGCGCATACATGGGACATTGTGTGTGTGTGTGTGCGTCTGTGTGTATGGGGGATATTGTCTGTATCGGCTTTTGGTACTAATGTTCGGGTCTCTGCTTGCATGTGTGAACATGAAATTGTTCGGTTCTGTGCATGCTATTGCTATGTTATAATTGTATGTATGTGTGTATTTCCACGAACAGTGTAGATGAGCGTGGAGAGTGCATTCATCCCTCATCAACCACTTCCCCTTGGGCTTACGAGAGCTTTTTCTGCGTACCTCTCATTTTTGTTTGTTTCTCTCTGATACTGTATTGATGCCGGTACCTGTACCTCGATGTGTTCCTCTATCTGCAGTCGCCTTTATCCTTCGGTCAAGTTAGCGTTTATTGCGCTCTATTTACCGTGCGAATCAAAATAAACAATAATAACACAAGTCATGCTAGAGTGACGACATGTGCGTGTAGTAGGGTTGATGGGACGTTATAATTAGGTGGAACAGAACACACATTGGGCAGATTGATTGGGCATCATTGATTGTGCTCAGTCTAAACAGTGAACATAATAATTATCTCCAGTGACAGACTGTAGCGGCTAGCCTTCAATAGGTAGCTGGCACTAGTCGCTACTGCTTGTTTGACAGGTGCCGCCAGAACCCCTGTTGTGTCATGCTATAGATGCACATGCCCTATTCTGGGGCATACTGAGGTACTTTGATTTTGTTGACTGCATGTAGACAGCATCCAATAGTAGTACTCGTAGACCTTGGCTCTTTGTAGGTCAACCACCATCGCATGGATCGATCGGTGACTATGCACTTGGAGGTTGGAATAGCCCGCGCTGAACAGATCTTGCCATTGCCCAGGGAGTGAACTCGCTTACTCGACTATCCCGGTTTTAGTTAACCAGCATGAGTGGTGCAATTTGTCCATAACATGTTGCGAGCTCACAGTTGTTTGGGCAGGTTTTGAGCTGCACCACGAAACAAAGCGAAATAACGGCGCGACTGTAGAGCAAGGAAGCGGCGAGACGGCACTTCCAGGACGAGACAGGCAGTAGAGATGTGTTCACAGCACGAGCAACCTCTCAAACCCTGCCGGTACTCCACAGTTACAAGAAAATGTCGGACTGGACGACGCGCCAATGCAAACCTGCTACATCCACCCAGGCAGATAGCTGCCAAACCAGGCCAATGTCGACCCACTTCATACCGGTATGTCAATGTCAAACAGATCCTGCAGGAGAAGACTGGGATGATATTGGCGTCCAGTGTACGGACACCAGTCACATTTCCTGCGTCTTTTGCAGCATACAGGCTGAGACTCATCACTGTAGAGTCCACTACTGCATGAGTTTTATTTGTACAAAACATGGCAGGCGTACACGATGTGCCTCGCAGGACTGCGAGGTGCTGCAGAAGACCAGGTTCGACCTTTCTGGACCGCCATTCACCGACGGTGGGCTACACGATGCTGGAGGAACTAGATTCCAGTGAAAACCCAAGATTCCTTTTCTCCTGGACGCTCCGACGTGTTGTGATATCTGCCAGGTGCGCAGTAACTAGTATTTTCATCGCTACAGCGAGGACGACGCCGATCGGCAAACTCTCGCTCACAGCCATCACCAGCCTCTCAAAACCATCACTTGGCATCCCCCAGAGGTACAGGAGAAAGCCAAAACAGCTCTCAACAAACAAAAGCTAAGGACGATGGAAAGAGAGCATGTCAAAAAGAAGACGAACAGTATGAAGTTCAAATGGGTTTGAACACTCGTACCACCAACTATACCACTTTCAATAAATCGTGACGCCATTTTGTTTTAACACGCATACGGTCCATTAGTTTATAGAAAAGAAAAGGGGCCAAGGAACTATAGGGTTCACAGATTGGCATGCTAGCGTCGCCGGCATCGTGCACGTGACAGGCGCGTGACAGGCGCGTGACAGGCGCGTGACAGGCGCGTGACAGGCGCGTGCATATACTGTACCACACAATCAGTGACTGCTCAAATCGCATTTTCCAATCAATATCACTTACTTTCAACTCTACGGGATTCATTACGGTTGGCTCAAACTGCCTGAATTTTTAAATCCACACGCACGAAAGACGTTCCAAGACTTCCACCGTTCGTAATTTTTTCAAACGAGTTCCGGGTTTTCCAGTGACCTTGGCCAAAGTTCGGCTAAAAAAACACTGGAGGCCGTTGCGTTTCCGTAAAATATTGAACGGTAAAAGGATAGCCAAGGTTGAGAGCAAAACAACAAGCCATTATCACATGGCACGTGATTGTTGCCCGTACTCCAGCGAATCAGCACCTTTCGCGCCGCGGGCAATAATATGCGATATTGCCCGCAAAAAAATAGTTTATTTGCCCGCAAAAAAATAGTTTATTTCAGTGATCGCGTGACTACGATCGTACGACGACTCTGTAGACTGTACGACTCTACGACGAGTCGCAGTGTACGTGTAGCATTGAGACGAAGATGGAATTCTTTTTGGAGATGGACATCCCGGCAATGGACATGGCCTCGGACGTCTGCCGTGTGGTGCTTGCAGGGATCATTTGTTCAGTCATGTTGGCAGCCTGACCGTCGGTAAGCTTGTGGATAAGATTCAGTTCTGCTCGAAGTGGTACTGTGATCACAAACAATTATTTGAAATAACACAAATTCAACTCAGCGTCGTGCGTTTTCAAATCCTCGCAAAGTCACTGCCTGTGTGTGGTCTTCATGTGCCACGCAAAACTCTTACCAGGCTCATCTCACCTTTGCTTGAACAACAAACACAACAATTCAGGAATGTTTTGCAATGAAAAATACAGCTATCTGGAGCTGAAAAAAAAGAAGAAAAATTGTCCTCAGAATTACACACCAGGGAGTCGTCAAATACTTGCACTTGTTGCAGTACTGTATTTGACAACTTCCTGATACACATGTTAACATGAAGAAACTCTTTGTGGTAGCACTCTTAATTTTTCAATTGAAATTATGATTCTGCTGTATTTTATTATCGTTGCCATGTCAATTGCTATGACGATGCGGTGCCGGCACTTTTTTCTGTCTCCGTCTTTCAGTACTGTATACTCTCTGATGGCCTGTAGAAGACTTTTTGTTAGGGTGTAGGAGAAATATCTTCATTTTTCCTGTTTTGATAATGATAGCACATCAATATACATTGTGGTCATAATGTGTTGGCATTTGGGCTAATTTCAACAGCAGCCCAATGGTCTGCTCTGTGGGCCATGTGATAAATTTGTTATCGCATGGTTGCTGCGGGCCTTATGGCATATTATTGCCCCTCGAGGTTAGCCCTCGGGCCTACGGCCCTCGGGCTAACCTCTCGGGGCAATAATATGCCATAAGGCCCTTGCAACCATGCGATAACATATACTTATTTGTCAAAATCGAACAAGAAACGGCTCAGCGCATCTATTTTCCGTGCGCGTACTTCGGCCGACAAGGTGTGCAGAATTTCTGAAGAAGAAGAATAACAAGAGCAGCAGCGCTCGGAACAGCCATGCTGGATACTTCCAATCCCGACACGATGGAGCGTGTTGGCTGTCGTGAGCTGCTGAAACGACCATGACATTTCTTTTTCTTTGTATACCCTACATATTTTGACGTGCCCTTGGTCAGTTTCGGCCTCTTTACAGGAAGAATATTTTCTTCCTTGGCATCAGCCATTTCGGCCAAACAGCAAGAAGAGCAACAGATCGAGATTTGCAGGGCAAACAAAGGACGCGTGCAGCTACATCTAGTCAGGTTCGATGCAGCTGCGCTTTGCCAGAACGTCAGCAAACAAGAAAAGGCGACAGAGTGTTTCAGATGGAACTGGATCTTTCGCCAAGACCGCCACCGCCGCCAGAAAAACCGAAGCAAAAATGCAAAGCCCGAGTGAAGTGAAGGAAAAATTCAAAAAGTACGCTCTCCGGCTAGACTTCGAGTCGATATTTTTCACTTCGACAGGCGCTGTCGCGGCCTGTCGCGCGCGTCCATAATCCAAAATGGAGGAGGCGCACGTGTCGGGTGCTTTTAGTGGCAAGCCGTGAACCCTAAACTACACTGTACAAGCTACGCTATAGTGTCCACTAACACGACCAGTTTACTAAACAATCAGCTCATGCAATAACATTGCACCTTGGTCCTTTTTCTTTTCCGAGGATAAATTTATCCTTGCCTCTCCATCTAAGTCCATTCTTGTACCAAAGTTACCAAAAATAAATCTCCACCAAAGTATTTTGGTGTTTTAACGAATTTTTCCGGTTGTAAGTCGACCTTTTACGACTAAAAATAGAAGGAGAAAGGGTGGGGTCAACCGGGATTCGACTTATAACCGGGAATTATCAGAATCTTACACAAAATGACCTGCCCTGCATGCATGAGTGCACCATGTGTACACATGTTTGCCAGTTTATTGGCCTTTTTCAAGGATTGGGACGTTATACCCTCCAATAAGGAATGTTTACATGATTTGTTGATGTGTTCGTAGCAGGGCGTGGTTGGTAGTGCTTCGGTGGGTGAAAACTTTAAAACGCAGAATTGAGACCTCCGGATACGGGGTCGACCTATAACCGGGGTCGACTTACAACCGGTAAAATACGGTAGTACAGTATTGTTTACGTGCTCAGCATAGAGTACGAGTTAGCCCTTGGCAGATAATGGTCGAAAAGGTGGCAGATTCTGCTTGAAAAGCAGTGAAATTGGCAGAACCATACAAACCTTATGGCGGGCAATTCCTCGAATTCTGCTCCATTCCTTTATCCACATACCAAACATGCATGAAACTTACCAGAAATAGTACCGAATTCTGCCAATTTTTCTGCCAGCATTATCCACCAAGGCCTAGTACGAGTCATGTGTTAGAGAAAAGGACCAATCGCCAGGCCAAGAGTCAGTAATCAATGTAAAATGGTTATGGGATTACGGGTCAGAAATTTAGGTGCTCGAAATTGTAGCTACGAGGTCAAAGATCGGGGGTGAAGTGAAGAGAAATCGTAGGTACAGAGGAGCAGTTCCCTGTTGGATGATACGTGCCAGTGTTTGTGCAAACATCGGTCTAGAAGAAATCCGTCGAAAGTACCGAAAATAAAAAGTGCATGCTCCCCAAAACCTCCCTGCTTGGATGACGGCTAAACCAGGGTTCTAGCCAAAGGGGAGTAGGGGGGCGCAACGCCCCCTACTCTGTTTGCGCGTCCCCATGTGAAAAGTACCCCCCCCCCCCACCCCACCCCTTACTCATTTTCCGATTTTTGTGTTTTTTTCATGCCATTCAACAAAAAATGCAGTCGATGGTGTAGAGGGTTTATAAAGCTAGGTAAGTGCTACAGGGTGGAGGTGTGCTACAGGGTGGAGATGGGCTACAGGGTGGAGGTGTGCTACAGGGTGGAGGTGTGCTACATAGTGGAGGTGTGCTACAGGGTGGAGGTGTGCTACAGGGTGGAGGTGTGCTACAGGGTGGAGGTGTGCTACGGGGTGGAGGTGTGCTACGGGGTGGAGGTGTGCTACGGGGTGGAGGTGTGCTACGGGGTGGAGGTGTGCTACAGGGTGGAGGTGTGCTACAGGGTGGAGGTGTGCTACGGGGTGGAGGTGTGCTACGGGGTGGAGGTGTGCTACGGGGTGGAGGTGTGCTACGGGGTGGAGGTGTGCTACGGGGTGGAGGTGTGCTACGGGGTGGAAGTGGAGTAAAAAGCAGGTTTACAGTATGCTGTTGTTGTTGTTGTTGTTGTTGTTGTTGTTGTTGATTTTCATTTTACTTCGTATGTTCCCTGGTTTGAGGGAAAGATGCAAACGGGAAAAGTCTGAAGAAAAAATTGACTGTTGCCTCCAAGACTCGAACCAGGGACCTTCGCTTGAGATTTACAGTACGGCCAATTATTACAACGTTTCGGCGAAATTGCCCTCATCGGGTTTGCTTCAACGTTCTCTGTGTTCAATGTATGCAGGTCGGATGTTGCGTCGGCGTTGGGCGCAATACAAGACCAGCACCCGTCCACGCGTAGTACCAACACACCGGAGCTGGGAGAACTTCTCTTCAAGCATGGCCAGCGCTCGGCGGCTGGGCAGGTGCGCATGATGCGTGCGCCCGAGCCCACCCTCTTCAGACAGTACCGGCCAATGAAGTGCACACTGCCACGGCCAGCACCGCCGGAAGAAGAGATCCCAGATCAGGGTGCAGGGACAGGGGACAAGGTACGTGAGAAGGACGGTAGGAAGGCAGGGAGGGTGACGGAGGCGGGTAGGGCCTGTGGGGGGGGGGGGTAGTGGGGCCCAGGGGCAGAGAGGGGCAGGGATGGGTATCGCCGCAGGAAGAGTGGCAGAGGGAGGGGTGGTAGGGATGGGTAGGGCCCAGGAGCAGGGAGTGGGCAGGGATGGGTAGCGCCTGGGGGGGGGGGGGGGGAGGGCAGGGAGGCGGGTAGGGGGCTTGGGGTGGTGGTAGGGACGGGTAGGGCCCAGGGACAGGGACGGCTAACACCGGGGGGGGGGGGGGCAGGGAAGGCTAACGCCCGGGGGAGGGCAGGTAGGGTGGCGGGTAGGACCCGGGGAGGCAGGGACGGGTAGGGCCCGGGGGCAGGGAGGGTGACGGAGGTGGGTAGGGCCCGGGGGGAATATGCTGTGTTTTCTCAAATCAGCCTAGCCCCTGTGCATCTGTATATCTGTCCTAACCCAGTCCATGTGTACCTAGTATCTGGCCTTGGTTGAGCCGGGCATTCCACGCATCTCTGCCCTCTATTTGAGCAGCCCAGCCCACCTTGTGTTTCTCTGTCCTTGTTCGATTCTCTCTCATTTATCTTTTGCATGCCAGATACGTCATCATCATGGCCCTAGTAGCAGCAGCAACAACAGAAACAAGGAGTCCACCAGCCATACCGACATGACGAGCACATCCTATGTAGCTGTAACAGCACAACACAACAAGCATAGCCCATTGCCAGTACAACACAACAAGCATAGCCCATTGCCAGTACAACAACACGGTGCCATTGAGAGATGTCTTGGCAAGAAAGCCGTCGCTCAGGCGCCGCAGAGCGTTCTGTCGCAAGTGTACTTCGGGCCGTCAGCGGAAAAGGAGAAGCTGTTTGCTGCTGAGAAGAGAGTAATGCAAGCCTTGGGCACTTCCTAGCACTAAACATATACCGGCAGCCATGGACGCTATACTCTGTCTCAAGCTTCACTGTTCCTGATTCTACACAACATTGCTGCTTTGAATCAGGGAGTAGATATCTTACTACTCCCTGCTTTGCAGGATGCATACTACTATGCTGTTGCGGACATTGAAATCCGTTCGGATGTCAAGCGGCCGCGGGGCGCTGGCCTCGCGGCCATGCACAAGTGGAGAACCCCTGGATAGGCTGCGCGCCTCTGGGTCATCCCCGAAATAAAGACAATGATAATGAGCACTGCTGCTCCATGGTTGCAATGCGTGTACGCGCTAGGCAAGTTTGTTTGTTTGTATACTTTATTTGAAGCAAGTAAAGCCCCCCCCCCCCCCCCCCCCCCTCGGTCCGATTCCACCTTTCTATGTCCACGGCAGTACACTGCAAGTGTGGTTGCTCCGAGCCGTGTAATGCCCATGACGTCATCATGGGTGCGCATGAATCAGACGGCAATGATGTCGCTATTCAGTATTGTCGCGTTCAGTTCTCTGCAGAACTACAGTGCATGTCAAGCAAATAATCTGATCAATTTTCATCTGACGGTCGATTCAGTTCGTAAACTCAGAGTTACGAAACAGCCACTGCTCGTTCTTCGGGCTGTGAAATCTGATCATGTGACTAAAGCGTATACGATTTACGCCCTCGAGCTCAGTGTGTGATCCGGCCCCGGCAGTTACGATTCGTATGTCTATAGGGGCTACGCAGTGTGGCCCCGAGTGGCATAGACACAGGGACGTGGCTCGAACATCTGTGTTGTTGTGGTGGCCATGTACCCGGCAGAGCACATCTGTGGTGTGATGCCCATGTACATGTAGTTGTACCAGAGCGTGTCCGTAGTGTGGTGACCATGTACCACCACCCACCGGCAAACCTCATGGCCACCATTTTGCCTAGTTTGACTATGTATATTGTTTCATTAGTATAATACTAACTTTGTTACTTTATACGTTCCTCCGATACGATGGCTCAACCTTATGTACCTGCCGGGGCACCCGCCGCCGCGCCCGCCACAGCCCCAGGTCCGCCCGCGCCTGCCCAACCACCGAGAGGGGCGTACCATGTGCAGCCCGAAAAATACAGGGGTCGCCTGGAGGACAACTTCGCGTCCTGGCTGATGCATTTCGACCAGGTCGCAGAGGGAAACAACTGGACCCCCGTTCAGCAGATGCAGTTCCTGGGCCTCGCACTGGAAGGCGAGGCCCAGCTGTATTACCAATCGCTCCCTGCGGCCACCAGGAACGGAGGCCGCCAACAGCTCGTCCAGGCGCTGCAAGCTCGGTTTGAGCCAGCGCAGCGCGTCGACCTCCATCGCGCAACATTTCAAGCTCGTCGCCAGGCCAAAGACGAACAACTGGGGACTTTCTGTGAGGCTGTTCGCTCCCTGGCCCGGCAGCATATCCCTAGATGGCCGCGGGGGACCTCGACAGCCTAACCAAAGACCAATTTATCTCTGGGCTCGACTCACGGGGCATGCGGGTCCGCGTTCGGGAGCTCAACCCGCAAACGACAGACGGGGCACTCCAGGCCGCGCTCCGTCACCAGGCAATCCTCGCTGCCGAACTGCCCGCCGCGGAACCTGTGCCGATCCCGCCTTTGCTGTTTCCCAACCACTCGACGCGGTGACAGACCAACTGAAGGCTGTGTTAGACCGTCTGGCTACGTTGGAGGCCAGTCTGCCAGGACCAACTCGTCGGTCCCGATCTGACCAACCACCACAGCCCCCGCAGACGCAAGGCCGCACACCTGTCACCTGCTGGTCATGTGGTCGCCAGGGTCACATCAGCCGAGAATGCCGTGCACGCGTGCCCGTCGTCCTGCGCAGGCGGGAAACTACCGGCGGCAGTACTAAGTACCTCGGACGCTAGCCCTGCCGCATCCTGCTCTTCCGGGACTGACGTAAGTACTGTGTTTATATGCCTTGCTGTCTTGCTCCTTGCCCACCCTGTTACGCTCACGATTATACCTGTTTTGCTTGCTGTGCTGTACCGCCACCGCCTCCCTGATGTACGTGCTTTCTTCCCCGACCTCTCCCCATTACACCTTTTTTCGTCGAGCTTGTCCCGACGCGACCATGCATGCCGCCTACCTGTAATACCCGTGACTGTGAACGCAGTCGGTTCCAATGCTTTGTTAGACAGTGGGTCTTCCAAGTCAATTGTGAGCAAGAAGCTGTGGGATTCTCTGAGAAATCGCCCGTCCCTGTCCCCTCCGCCTCCCTCATGTATCCTTTCCGTGGATGGCTCGTCCGTAGCGATTTTGGGTCAAGCTGAGCTGCACATATCTGTTTCACTCACCACCCCGCTTGTCCTGCATGATTTCTTAGTTGCCTCCATCCATCCCGAGGTCATTCTAGGGGTTGACTTTTTGCATGCCCAAGCGTGTTCGCTTGATTTCGCCGCTTCCACCATTTCCATTGCTGATCAGGTTATTCCCCTGCATTCCCCCGCCCTGATCCCGTCGCCTGTCCATGCCGCTTCGCTCTCCGCTGATCCCGTTGTGATCCCGTCACCTGTCCATGCCGCTTCGCTCCCCGCTACTCCCGTTTTCTGCACGCTTCCCGCTGCTGTGACCGTCCCGGCCATGTCTCATTACATTTGCTCTGCTAAAGTTGCTTCCTGCCATTCCGATAGCCCCCTGCTGTTTGAGCCATGTGAGTCTTCGTGCAGTACCCACCACATTGTCGGCCTCGCTACGCTGGCTACCGTCAATGATAACATGGACCCGTCCGTCTGATCAACCCTAACGAGCACCCCATCACACTACCTGAGAACTGCCTGCTTGGCTCGCTGTCCCCAGGCACCATCGACTCTTCTGCAACACAACCAGTACCTCCTGCTGATTACCCCGCCGAGTACACCTATGCTGCTGCTACCGCTCAGTCTGTCACTGGTATGTTCAACACCAACAATCTGCCGCCTGACCACCAATCCCAGCTCCACGCTCTGCTAGAGGAGTTTTCCGACATCGTCTCAACTGGCCCATCTGACGTGGGTCGCACTCAAGTCATCACTCACGACATTCCTACTACAACGGACCAGCCTATTCGGATGCAGCCTCGCCGCCTGCCTGTGCACCGTCAAGCTGAGGTACGTGATCATATTGACCGACTCATTGACGATGGTATAGTGGAACCTTCCGCGAGTCCATGGGCTGCTCCGATAGTTGTTGTACGCAAACCGGACGATAGTATCCGCCTCTGTGTCGATTACCACAAACTCAACCATTAACCAGCGCACTAAGCGTGATGCCTTCCCGTTACCCCGCGTCAACGATGCTATTGACGCCATGCAAGGCTGTAAGTACTTCTCGACACTAGATTTGGCATCCGGTTACAGGTAGACTCCCTTTAATTCGAACCTCAAATTGCCAGGCCCTAACTTCTAATTATCCGGAACTTCTAATTATCCAAATGCAGCCCCATGCACTGATATGTATGTCAAAATGCTTGAAATCGCATGCTGAATATTTTTTGCACATTATTTTTTATTTGCATCAACGAAACATAGGTGATCGTACCGGTCATGTACAATGGATACGCGTAACAGCAGTGGGATCATCAAAACACTGGATCGACACAAAATCATTTGACATTATTATCTTCATCTTCTACTTCTAGTGAAGAAGTTGTCAGCCACTGCAGCTTTCCTGAAACAATTTCAACGGAAAAGAACTGCGCTGCCTAATTCGCGTTATGAAAGGCCGTCGGACAGCAGCACGTCGTTCCGAAGAACGGAAGTGAAGCATAGGCATAGACAATATTTACGACAATAGTGTTATTGTGCGCCAACATCTCCGCGTACGAGCTGGCGCGGCAAGAAAGGCCATCGAGATCCGCGAAGAGAGTCAGCCACCTGGAAGAAGTCGTCTTCAATCAAAAGATGCAATTTGCCTCGCACGGGCTTGAACCAAATTTCGAGAGAAGGTGGGTTTCTTGAACGCTATAGTCGATCCTGCAGCGGACCATCGATCGATTTTTGAGCTTCTCTTGGCTAGAGAAGGAGAAAAGAATGAACTTCGAATTACAAGGATAGCAAGTCAATCTCACTTCGAAATAAGCGTTCAAAGAACATAGCCAATGTACTGCAAACAGCTCTTCTGTACGAAGACTGGGTTCGAATTATCCAACCGGCGCACTTTTCGTACTTCGAATTATGCATTCGATTTTGACTTGAAGTGACTTGCAGAAGATCGGTACGACGAAAAAGTTCGTATTACACGGAAGGTTCGAATTATACCGTATTCGGATTAGAGGGAGTCTACCTGTACTGGCAGGTAGAGCTCACTGAATCTGCTGAAGGCAAAGTCTGCCTTTACCACTCCGTTCGGCTTATTTCAGTGGAATGTTATGCCTTTCGGATTGTGCAACGCACCTGGTACATCAAGTTTCAGCGCCTAATGTCCACAGTGCTTCGTGCCCTCATCCCTGCAATCTGCCTCGTATATCTAGACGATATCATTGTGTTCTCCAAGACGTTCCAAGAGCATCTCACCAACCTCCGCGCTGTGTTCCTGTGTCTCCGCAAAACTTGTCTGAAGATTAAACCATCGAAATGCAACCTCCTACAACCGTCTGTCGTCTACCTGGGCTTTCACTTCGCCCACGATGGCATCCGTCCTAACCCTGGTAAACTGGAATCTGTCCGCACCTGGCATCAACCCACAAGTAAGACAGCAGTTAGGACATTTCTTGGCTTTGCGTCTTATTACCGCCGATTTATTCCAAAGTTTTCAATGCTTGCCCAGCCATTGCATGCCCTCACCGAATCCAAGGCCACGTTTGCTTGGTCAGATGCTGCAGCTCAAGCTTTCAATGCGCTGAAACATGCACTCCTTACCCGCCCGGTTCTTGCATACCCCATTCCGAATCACACGTTCATCCTCAACACCGATGCTAGTGACTTTGCTATGGGCGCTGCCCTCTCTCAGGAAGATTCCAATGGCACAGAGCATGTTGTAGCTTACGCTAGTAAGAGCCTTTCACATAGCCAACGCCGCTATAGTGCTACTAGGAAGGAACTTCTAGCTGTTGTCACGTTCTGTGAATACTTCCGTCACTATCTTGCTGGCGCACACTTCACACTACGCACTGATCACAAAGCTTTAGTCTGGCTGCACAACTTCACTGGCACAGATGGTTTGCTTGCTCGCTGGATTGAACGCTTGGCTATGTTTGATTACCGCATTGTCCATCGCCCTGGTAAGGCTCATGCTAATGCGGATGGTCTCTCTCGCAAATCTCCTCCACCGCCCGCCGAACCTGCTCTGACGAATGCTGCCATTAGTACTGATGCTCCGCTGCCTCCTTCATCGCTAACGCGGGTTCGTGATGCCCAACACCAAGATCCTGATGTCACTGCAGCCATCACATCGGTCCGGCAGTCACAGCGGCCTGATCGTCACAGCCCTGAACTGCAAGGTTCTAGCAGGTTCCGTCTCGCTCTCTACCATCAGTTCAGCCGCCTGATACTCGACAACGACATCCTGTACTGCAAGTATGAATCAGAGGGTGGTAGTTCGCACTCCCTCCAGCTGGTAGTTCCCCCGTCGCTCCAACGAGAAGTGCTCGCTTTACTTCACAGTCACATCACTGCTGGTCACATGGGTACCAATCGAACAACGTCCCAGGCCCGACCGCGGTTCTATTGGCCTGGTATGTCCGATGATATTGACCTGTTCATTCGCGCCTGTGAAGTCTGCCAGCGCCGCAAACCACCTGTACCAACACCTCGGGCGCCAACGGTCACGTCGCAGCCATCATTTCCTCTACAACGAGCCGGAATGGATATTATGGGCCCGCTTCCGGTGGCACCACGAGGAAACCGCTACATTCTCGTCGTTGGCGACTATTTCACGAAGTGGTACAAGGCGTTTCCACTCCCAGACATCAGGGCCGAGACAATCGCCCGGTATTTCGTTGACGGCTTCGTCTGTCGCTATGGTGCACCAAATACTGTGGAGCAGGAAATTTTCGGACGGAATTTATTTTCGTACGATTTCGTACACGGCCTCTTTTGTACTAAAATTAATTCCGTACTAAAAATTGTTCATGTGAAACTATGTACACTGTACGTGCGTACTGCTTGCGAACACGTGCATTTAGCATGCAGCACTGCCCGAAAATAAAATCCGTATGAAAGGTGGAATTTTGGCTTTGTCCGAAAATATTTCCGTCCGAAAATGTCCTGCTATACAGTAGTCTGCACACCGACCAAGGTGCCCAGTTCGAGTCCAACCTGTTCAAGTCCATCTGCGCCATGCTGGATACATGTATTCACAAAACTTGCACAACGCCCTACCACCCACAGAGTGACGGTCTCATCGAACGGTTTAACAGAACACTGGAGCGCATCCTCGCCACAACAATCAATGATCACCAAGATTGGGACCTCTATCTGCAACGTGCTCTGTTAGCTTACCGCATGAGCGTGAATGACACCACATCGTTTACACCTTTCCGTCTGATGTTTGACCGAGAAGCAACTCTACCCATTGATCTCGTTTACGGCCCACCACCTGCTACACCACCCATTACTGCCCCGCAGTACGTCCAGCAACTTCAAGACTCCCTGCGTAAGACATTCACCACTGCCCGAGCCCAAGGTGCCAAAGCCCAACAACGTCAGAAGAGGAACTATGATGGCAATGCTCCGCCCACACAGTATGCCGTAGGCGATCTGGTATTCCTGCACTCACCTGTTGTTCCTGCTGGCCAGTCTCCCAAATTCCATTCTCCATGGACAGGACCCCACCAAGTTGTCACTGTTCTCGACAATTTCACAGTCCGCATCAAAGCTTCCCGAACGAAACGCCGTCAAGTTGTTCACATCAACCGCCTGAAACGGTATGTCTGCCTACCGCCTATTGCTCCACCTCCATCTACTTACACTCCAATCATTCACCCCGTAATGCCACCACCTGTTCAGCCGCTCCCTCCTGCCCCTGTAGTTCCACCTCCTGTTTACCCCTACAATCTCCGGAACCGCCAAATGATCCGCCCACCAAACCGCTACTAATCACGAGGACGTGATTCTGTTTAAGAAGGAAGGTGTAGCGTTGGCACGCTAGTAACTTACACAGCTGCAGCGTGTCTTTCAATGTATTGGTCACGCGTGTTACACCGCACCGCACCCCGCACTTGCAACTCTTACTACCGTGCTTGCAGACCCATGACATGCATAGTAACTAGTCTCACTGTGTTCATGTATTTCTCCCACACACTAGGATGACCTGAGCAATACTAGCACATGTACCCTGTAGACCCTTTTGATACATTTCACTTTCGACCTCCTTTTCATTTATCTACACACATTCTAATGAAACTTCCTTAGAATTCCTAATGGCTGTCTTCCCGGTACCTCTTTTACGCCCATTGCCCACACTGCTATTCAGCTCCTTCTTCTGCATAGAATCAAATGGCATTCCTTGTGCAATGACTGTGGCCCACACATCTTACTTTGACCTTTCTTCTTCTGCTCTACGTATCCCCTGGTCATAGGCTGGCTTACTAACACTAACAGCTCCTCACCCTATAAAAGCTGCTGTTCACAATTCTCTTCATGTCAGTTTAGAGTTAGAGTTCAACCTTCAATCCAGTCTTTAGTAATAATAAAGTTAACAACAGTGTGTTTGCTGAGACCCGTGTGCATTTGCCTCCGAGAGAGACTGCGGTCCGCTACATATACATGTCATGTAATTATTATTGTTAGTACATGTACCGGTACCTATGAGGGTCATTTGCTGGTGTGGTGAGCGAACTACACTGTCTATAATAATAATAATAATAATAATAATGTAGAAGAGAAAAGGACATTATGGATACGAGTTAAGACAGTTTTGTGCCTAGTTATTGCACTTTCTGACTGTATATAGTATCATGTTACAGTGATGGAGAGTTACTCTTAACTCGTATCCATATGTCCTTTTCTCTTCTACATTTATTTATGGCTCAACATCCGAGTTTCAAATAATAATAATATTCTATTTTAGCACTTTGTTTTGTTCTCGTAACACATTATTGAATGTATATTAATCATTGATTCAGCATGGTTACTCTTCAGTCACGGCTTTCCACTGATGATTGTGACAAGAAAATCGATTTTGGTAAACCTTCATGACTTTGTTGTAGTGTGGCGATGACAGCAGAATTTGTTCTCTTTATAGCTATTATAAAATTGTTGTCTCCACGTCGATTATTTAAATAATAATCTTTATTTCAGGATTACCCAAAGGCTAACATGAGCTATGCGCCCACGCCTCCATCGGATCAGTGAGCAGCACTCAGTAAAATGTATGTAAATCAAGCACGCTCATGCAGGAGATCATGATGGCTGAATCTTGCAGGCAAGGGCAAGATTCAGCCATCATGACAGACGGAGCGTGCTTGATTTGATTTCTTACAGCGCAAAGCAACATAATAGGAAAGGTCGAAGGTCGAAAAATTATTCTCGAAATGACGTCAAACGGTCCTGACATTCCCGAAATGACGTCAAACGGTCCTGAAACTCCCGAAATGACGTCAAACGGTCCTGATGGCCTGATTATGCCCGCGGCGGGAAGATCACCTATTATTGGCCATGGCCCCGGCAACGACCACGTGTCATGATGTAAGAATAAATTATTTCAAGTGGTACGAGTCTTTTTTTTGTGAACATCATCACGGTCATCAGGACACGTAACCCCCCCCCCCCCCCCCACACACACACACACCGGTACTCCATCCCTACAAGTAGGCGATATGCCCTGGCCTAGGGACCGGCGGATTATGCTCGAAAAGGTGGCAGATTCTGCTCGAAGGCTGAGAGCAGTGAAATTGGCAGACCCATACAAACCTTATGGCGGGCAATTCCTCGAATTCTGCTCCATTTTTTTTATCCACATACCGGTACCAAACCATCATCGGGCATGCATGAAACTTACCAGAAAAAGTCACCGAATTCTGCCAATTTTTCTGCCGGCAGAATTGGGCCTATAGGCAGAATCCGCCGGAACCTACCCTGGCCTGCTGGTACCATGGTGAGCATCCAAAATTCAAAAAGGAAGCAAAGCCGCTTGGAAATGAGGCACGTGATCAGGTTACACGTCCTGCGAATGAGAAAGCGAAGTCGATGCCGCGCCGATCATTCGCGCGCCCGGCGCCCGTTCCCAGGTTGCGGTTGTTACCGGCCCTCGGCCTTGACATCGTGCTCATGCCATGGTGTTTGACGTCATAAACGGTTGCGGCCCGCGTAAAATGTCGGAATGATTTTTTTGGCAAAACCAGAAAAGGTGGTTGGAAAGAAGACAAGCGGCGAGCAGGACCGACGCTCCGAAATTTCAGTACACAAGATCTACGTAGGCTTCAGCTTGGGCATTTGTGGAGCAAAACTTTGTTCATCGTTTTTGGGCTGCAAGTCGTTTCTCATCTACCGTGGGGAGGAGGACATCAAGCGTAGATTCAATTATTTTCTCTGCATAGACCACAGGGGCGGGTTTACTGTTTCTTGGATTTTCGGACCCGCTCACTCACCTTGCTGAATTGACGTCACCCTCCGTAGCCTTTTTGTTGGTTTTGTTGGAGGGAGAGAGTTGTGGACGACTGGTAGAGTCCCTGAAGTGAAGAAACATCTCTGCTTAGTACAATCGTTGGACGTTGTTCGATTTACGGGAGAAATGGCTCGGGAGTACGACCACTTGTTCAAGCTACTGATCATTGGAGACAGCGGTAAGAACTGTGTGTGGGTGTATGTACATATGTGTTCTTTTGTCTTCAATTCCCTGTCTTCAATTTGATTGGAAAATAACGGCTGCATTTTGCGTACCCTTGCCTTCCTCATCAGTTTATACATCCTTGTGTTCCCGCTTTGGACATGGGTCGTGGATGTACTATCCAGACACTTCGCCTCTAGCCTCGACTGAAAAAAAAGTTGCCTCACTTCTCCCCGCGCTCGTGGCGATCCCGGAATGCGTGCTGGTACAAGTATTTCCTCTTAGAAGCAGAACTCTGCGCTCGCCGTGGGGTATCGGCACAGGGCATTGTGGGGTGTATGTGTGTGTTTGAAATCAGTTCAACCTTGTCCGATAGGGGTATTCCTCAAGTCAGGAAACGCGCAATCCGGTTGATTTCAAGCTATCCTCTGCAATGTGAAATTTGAATTTTTCAATACAATTCCGAAATATTTTTGCTATCGAATGGTGCACTGCAGAACCACGTACCCTTGCCTGTAGAACAGTTATCCGAATAGGTATTTGAGAACGGAAATTTATTTCAGCCCTCACTTCACAGTATACCCATCAATGTCAGCATCTAGGTGATCATACCCAGGCAGACCCCATTGTTGCACAGAGGTGATTTGAAATTCTTTTTTTTCTTTTTTTCAATTTTACGTACTCAGTAGTCCATGACCAAGTATTGTGTGTACAAGACAAATGGGCTTTTAATTGTTTGCCGGACGGGAGGCATGATACGTGTACCAGATGGCAGTATCATAATGCGCCGCTGTTGCTATGCCAAGCGGCACGAAGGGGGTTTGACAGCTGGGCGTATAGTCAGACCTCGTTTATCCGGTCCTCTTTTATCTGGATCTGTCAACATCCGGAAGAATATCGTTGGTTACCGATTTACAGCATATGCCATGCATACATACAGTACGTGTGTTCGATTATCCGGTTCCCTCGCCTATCCAGATTTTTTTTGTGGAAAACTGATGTGTGCGGTTATGCGAGGTCTGACTGTGTCAGCGTACACCCGGTAGCAAATTATGGCGTCGGCCGTTTCGACCTTGAGCGTCGTGTACTAGTAACCCTTGCAGGGCCAGCACTGCTTCCAAGTATTCTCGCTAGGGACATGCACTGAGGCGTGTAGCATCCCGAGTACCCAGTCGGTATATGGCCCGCGGTCAGCTAGAATGTGTCCTTGAGGTTTCGTAAGCATCTTGAGACGTGACGGAAATCAACATTGCTTCCTCTCGAGCCCGTTCACGCTGTGCTTCAACCATCGAACCGGTGGCAAATCATCTTGTCTAACTTCGTTCTCACACTGGGTTGGCAGTCTAGTTCATTCAACTTCCATTAATTTGCTGGTGAGCAAAGTGGCAAATTCTGGAATAGATAAATTTGAAAAAAGTCACTCTAAAACTTGTTTTAGCTGGCTGTAAACTAGGCCGTACTTATTTTCTTGGGCTGCAGTCTATGCACAGTTGGATCACCGTGTGTATATCGGTATGCTGTACTGGGTGACATCCTTGCCTGCTCCTTCTTTGTTACTGTGCTCTTCGGCGTCCAGCAGTATGGAATTGCGCCTGAGCGAGATACTGTACCCAGCTCCGTTATTTTCTTCAGTTCTCAAGTTTTACTCAACACGAGGCCGTGGTTCAGAGCTGTGATGATTCCCAAAGTTCAAGCGAATCGTATGGTCTCCTATAATTCCACTTCCCATGGGCCGTGCAGTGGAGAAGTCCCCCCCCCCCCCCCCCCCCCCCCCGGTTTATGGGTCCACTGCATTGGTCTCTTTTCATGGAATTAAGAATAAAATGTCCAGTGCATTCACGTTTCTGTCTGCGGCGCCCAGTCATTCCGCACTGTGCTTATCATACTGCATATCACTGGAAGGCCTGTTCTCTTAGCCCAGTTACCAGTCGTCGTTTGCGACGATCGGAGAAAGGGCAATAGAGTTACGGCAATTTGAACAGTGATGTATGTATGTGCACTTTACAAAATGGGTGCACTTGCAGGACATTAATAGTAATTTAATACTCACCATTAGGAGCATACCGTAAAGTATTGTATAAAAGCCGCGGCTTCTATGACTTTCTTGGTGAAATTTTGCAGGCTTCTATATGAGACAGGCTTCTATACAAGACAGGTATTTCTCTGCATGTCAACACTAAAACCAGGCTTATGTGTGATTTGATGGGCCCAAAATTGCGGCTTCTATTCGAGGGCGGCTTTTATACAAGACTTCACGGTAGCTTGTTTCATTTAGATGTTACGTGATCTCGCCATTGATCCTGGAAGGGTTAACGTGTTTGCATGGAAGACGATTCAAAAGTGATACAGGAGTAAAACACCTTGGAATGCATTTTCATTTCACTGCCATTTGTAGATCTTTCAAAACGTACTGTGTGTGGTGCTCTTGCGGGTGGAGGTGGTTGTTCCTCCTCGATGCCCATACTGTGTTGCTGCTGATGCTGATGCTGATCCTGATGCTGATCCTGCCAATGCTCCTGATGGTGCAGCTGATCCTGATGCGGCAGCTGCTTATCCTGATGCTGCAGCTGCTGATGCTGATGATGCTGCTGATCCTGCTGCTGCAGCTGCTGATCCTGCTGCTGCAGCTGCTGATGGTGATGGTGCTGATGCTGATGGTGCTGCTGATGGTGCTGCTGATGCTGATGGTGATGGTGATGCTACTAATGCAGTGTCTGAGACTGTATAAAAATTGTGTGCGACTGAGTCACCGTGTTGGTGACGTCTGGAGCACTTGTGGGCCTTTGTGTTCCGAGTTATGATGCTGAGCTCTCTCTCTGTATCTCTCTGTTTGCTGCACAGGTGTTGGAAAGAGCAGCTTGTTACTGCGGTTTGCTGATAACGTCTTCTCGGGTAGGTGTCTTTAGCACAGAACCCCTTTAGGCTGACCTGCTAAAACTACTGGTTTAGTCTTACTTGCTTTAATATGTTCCCATTCTCTTCTCTTCCGACATTGCATGTTAGCCTGTGTTCTCTTCTCTTCCGACATTGCATGTTAGCCTGTGTTCTCTTCTCTTCCGACATTGCATGTTAGCCTGTGCTGACATGAGAATTTTCAACCCGAGTTGAAAGTCTGTACGATGGAGAAAAAAAATAGGTGGGTGTTTACATGAAGGCAGTGGATCTGGGTCAAATACTGATATACTGCCAATATTCCACTTCTAGAGTCCTGTATTGGCACGCGAATGCTTTCGCGCGAAATTTGCCTGTGCAGTGCCTAACATGGTCATTTGGCCTCATGCCCTAATTTGGCCTCATACCCTATTATTTGAGAACCTAACATTTAATTCTAGCTACAACAAGGACCAGCTACGTGCTCATTCTATACGCACATCAAGGCAAAGTTGTTGGGTGACTTTCAATAACATCTCGTGATTGTCATCAGTTGGAATAACATCACATTACGGAGGATTAGCAAGACGAAATTCGCGTTCGCGTTCGCTCTCCAAAGAAAGTCGAACTCAGTGACGGAATTCGCGTTATGAGAAGGATTAGCAAACAGAATTCGCACATGCATGATGTTGACACGACGTAGGCAGTACAGCGTGGTAAATTTATGACTGCCCTGACACGAATCCACGATTCGTGTTCCGACTACTTTTCCGAACGAAAAATGCGAAAGTTCGCAATCCAGTTCGCGAACTGAAAAATGTTTGCGAACGCGAACGCGAATTTCGTCTTGCTAATCCTCCGTATTATTGACGCGTACGTACCCTAGCATTTCTGAACATCGAATTCTCTTTGTGATGCTCCTCACAGGCACATACATCACAACGATCGGTGTCGACTTCAAAATCCGGACCATTGACGTAGATGGAGAAAAAGTCAAGCTGCAAATCTGGGACACGGCTGGACAGGAGAGATTCCGTACCATCACCTCCACGTAAGCAGCTTTTGTGTGTGTGTGGTGTGTGCTCTGGAGTGCATGGGTGTGTGTGTGCGTCCGTGCGCGCGCCCAGGCAGGCGCCAGCCGTTGGTCAGGTCGATAGCCAATTGATTCATCTTTCCCAGGCTCCTTTTGACTGTCTCTCTCCTCTGCCAAGCGGAGCCCACAACACCGGCTTCTGTCAGTGAGCAAGGACGATTGTAACTGTCTTTCCGTATGTTTTAGTCCGTGCACAGCCAGCAGCTGTGTTTGGTTGTGTAGGATGTTGAACAGAGCTGTCCTCGTCCCAGCATTCTTACATGCATTACTTTCCTGTACGTGTACTCATACATTGCGTATATGCGTACTTGGTAATTCTCAGTGGGACATATTGGCGGCGTAAATGATCCTCCCCGTGTGTGTGTGTGTGTGTGTGCGTATTCACTGGCCAGAAAAGGCCACTTCATAGCTGTGTGGTGTAGACCAGGCTGAAGAGTGGCGGTCAATTCATCAGCCTTTGCAGGCTGTTGAATGGTGCAATCCCAGCACAAGTTGCTATGTCTTCTGCCGTACCATCGCTATCATATGCCTACGGCGAATGGCGTCAACATGTGTGTGTTTGTGTGCGTGGGTGTGTGTGTGTTTGTGTGCGTGGGTGTGTGTGTGTTTGCTTTGTTTGTATATATATATAGATACTACCGCGGAACGCACGGTGTCATTGTAGTCTACGACGTTACAAGTAGTGACAGCTTCATCAACGTCAAGAGATGGCTGCAGGAGATTGACCAGAACTGCGATGTTGTCAACAGAGTGCTAGGTGAGTTCACTTAGGCCATCATTTTTTATATCTATGTTTCGCGTCGTCCGCACGCATACGCTTTGATTTTTTCCGGAAAAAAATAAAAATCGAACATGCACAGTGAGTGTACGATCGTGCGAGTCATCAGTGTGGACTGGTTACACACGGCGAAGCTGGGATTCAGAATTGGCCTCGAGGCCAGCGTTGGTAGATCGTTTGTTCTGCATCTGCGAGCAGAATTCTTTGAGCTTACACCAGACCGCATCGATCGCCTCAAGCTGAGAGGATGCGTCGTTTCGGAGCTCTTTGCACCGCTGCTGAAGGCTGAGTACAATAATCCAGCGAAGCATGGGCACCAACGGTTGCCTCCTCTGTCCAAAGTGAATATTTCCTCTTGCTGATAACCCAGATTTTGTGCTTCGATGTACGATTTTTCTTTCGAATGTACACCATGCACGAGCTATTGACAATAGTCAATATGCTATGTAGTATGTACAGTGCTATACACCTCTGATGATCCTTTTTTATTATTTTGCAACTTTTTATTTCTTTCCACCTCTCGCATACGATTCTGGAAGTTGACCTGACGCGAAACATAGATACAAAAAATGATGGCCTTACGTAGAACACAATCCAAGTACGGGAAACAATTGCATGAAAGGAAGAATATGATTTGTTAACGTGGAACCCTACTCAAATACGGCAAAATTCAATGAAGCCAACACCGTCACTTATGTTGGCATCTGTTTGAGTGTGCATGTATGTGAGAGAGAGAAAGAGCGAGGATCTGGTGCGACTTCAAGTGATGAAAGTAAACACCTGGCATTTGGACTTGGTCCATTTTCGATTTGATGTGTGAGAAGCCGGCCGCATGGAAGTCAAAGTCAGTGGAAATGTGCAAAGTTCTGCATTCCCAACGCCTTTCCTGTGTGTTGTCTACCAACTCCTTGCCGTGCAGCCTATTGTGCTGTGTGAACGGTGCTTGCAGTTTGACGGTGCTCCGTAGCTCTGTGTGTGTGTGTGTGTGTGTGTTCACGTCAGTCTGAAAGCGCACCGAGGCGTGTAGCTGACGGTCTGGCCTCCGCAGACTACATGGCCATGTCCTGTTGTGAACATTAGTATCCATTGGCGGCCATGTCCGGGGCCGGCACCCTTACTGCCCTAGTGCATACACACATTGTAGATCACGTCAAAATGGACCAGCAGTGCTCACGGCTGCAATGCCAGCGCTCCGTGACCGCTTGACTTCTCAACGGATTTCAATGTCCACAGCGTATGTTATTGCACACTTGCGAGTAGCTCACATTCCGGCACCAGTCCTGCTGCTTCGCTTGAAGATCTTGACAGTATCACAGTGCAGTGTGGTCACAGGCCCTCCCTCCGCGCACGCTCGCATTTTTCAGTTGAAATCCGCTGACGAAGCCGTGAGTAGTGGCGGATAGGTCAACAGTGAAGTGTGCTACGGTTTAGCGCTCATCATTGCCTGTTCAGATAGCTGTCCTGCCAGTGGCTGCGTTCGATTATGCAGTTGAATCGATTCATGAATCCATTCGCATGCATTCAAGTCGTTCGATTTTCATGTCATGAGCTCTGGAATCTATTCGGTATCCATTCACTCTATTCACATGGGGTGATGTGAATAGCGCGAATCGATTCTCGTGCATAATCGAACGCACTCACTGTGCTTCTGGCAAATAATTGCTGGCGCATGCATACTATGATAGCGCATCTCCCGCCTCGTGCACTGTTTTGGCCGCACCGTTATGCGCACGACTTGAGAGATTTGTCTGGGCAGGTCACAGGGAATGGATTGGTCCCTGATGATTTGGCCTTCTTGTCATGAAACTCGAGTAACAATAAAACAGAGTTTCTTGCCACTCTGAACTTGAGTGATATTGTGGGTTTTTTTGCAAAAAATACTTTAAACTGAAGATGTTCTGTACTTGCTGATTTATGTCTTGTTCTGCAGTGGGCAATAAGAACGACTGTCCGCCGGAGAAGAAAGTGGTGGACACGGAGGACGCCAACAAGTTCTCCGACCAGATGGGCATTCGCCTCTGGGAGACCAGCGCCAAAGAGAACAATGGAGTCGAGGAGGTCAGTCGCTGGCTGCTGCGTTTGCTTTTGTGTCTACTGCACTCATACGCCGGTTATCCGGACCCCGGCAGTCACGGGCACTTCGGTCTGCCAGGCACCCTTTCGGCGAATTTCAGTGGAAATATTACTACTCTTTTGTCACATTTTGTAGAAATAGTGACGCCATACCAGTATGCCATATTTATGACCTTTCCCCGTCAAAATGTATGTGATTCGGAGTTGCGGACATTTCGAAATTACGGGCGGCAGTGGCCGGTCCCGGACCGCCCGGATAAACGAGGTGTGAGTGTACTGGGTTAGAGTACATGTAGAGTAGAACAGATGTGTTTCTTCTTTGTTTCGTGTCTCGCTCGCAAGTGTTGAGTTTCGGAGAGAGAAAAGAGCAGTACACTCGGACGTCTCTTATCCGGGCACCTTGGGACCGGGCACTGCCCGTATCTCAGATTTGCCCGTATCTCAGGATAACTCACCTACCATGTATCATTATCATTTTTGAAGAATTGTTTTTGGCGCATATTGAAAATGTTCAGGTTACAAAAATAATCCATGGATAAAAATGTGTGGATTACACAGGTTGGCAGTGACAAATAAGCACTTGTGCATTCGGAAAAAAAGTTCAACCCCCCAAATTCGAAGCATTTTTGCCATAGAAACTCAAGCTGAGGGTGGCCGGTAGAGAGACGTGCCCGTATCTGAGGCGTCCGGATAAGAGGCGTTTGAGTGTACTACTAGGCAGGTGGCCTGATTTCCTCGTACTTTGAAATTTGCCCTGAAGTCCGAATTTGAAATTGCAATTTGTTTTAGCTCACAGTGGACATACGTGTAGTTTCATGCGCTCCACACAATATCAAGCAAATGGCCGAGGGCACTCTTGAGTGGTGTGAGTTGCCAGTAGGATGCAAGCCAGATATTCATTGATTGAAGCCGGACAGATTTGCCATCACCGTGGATAAGAGTCATACTGTAGCTCAGTTGGTCAGGGCATTGCTCGCGATTGGCAAAGGCCCTGGTTTGAGTTCCGGTGGTGTGATTAATGATTTTTTCTTTCTTTCATATCTGGCTTGCAAGTATTGAGTTTCGGAGAGAAAAGTGCAGTATGAGGCAGGTGGCCTGATGTTCCTAATAGAACAGATGTTGGGAAAAGACGGTAGATTTTCGCGGACGCTGATCTACCTATTTTGGTGGATGGTCCATGCAAAGTCTGTATGTCACCCATCTTTTCAAAATCTACAGTACCATGTACAATGTGTTGTTGAAAGCAGCTCTCATTGTCAATTTGTCATGCATGTGCAGAGTATACCGTACCTCTAGCGAATTCTACCGCCTCACATCTTGTAGAGCTGGTAGAGGAAAGACGGGTCTCTGGCTGGCTCTTTCTCTCTCTCTCTCTCTCTCTCTCTCTCTCTCTCTCTCTCTCTCTCTCTCTCTCTCTCTCTCTCTCTCTCTCTCTCTCTCTCTCTCTCTCTGCATTTTTGGACATTGGCTATTATCCTCACTCTTTCGTACGTGTTTTGTTTTTGTGTGTGTATTTGGATGTGTGTGTAGGTGTTTGTTGAGCTGACGAGAATGGTTTTAAAAACGAAGAAAGAGTCTGAAGCAGCTGGTGGAGGCCAGCCTGCCAGTGGTGGTGCCATCAAGATCAACAAGTCGTCCGGATCCGACAAGAAGGGATGCGCGTGCTAAGCTCCGCCGGCTCTGCGCTGCAACGCTGCCTGTCCGGTTCGCCCTGTGGTAGCTGGGAGTCTGTGATCTGTTTGTGTGTGGTTGTGTGTGTGCGTGTGTGTGCGTGTGTTAGCAATTGCTGCCGCAGAAGAAGCGGCTGTTAGTGAGTCGCTGTTCCGGTTAAATTCTTACTTTGTGTCTCCGTTGTGTTGATGACTGGTTGGACCATCATCGCCACCCGCTACTGTTAAGGCTCTGGCTGTTGGTTTGCCTGTGCGTTCTTCTGGTCATCTGAACTGTTAGCTGCGCGGCGGCGGCTCACCTGCTTGCCACCGCCGTCCTCTGACCTGCTGATCTCGACGGGTTGCTAGTCCTCCTGCTCTTGTCGGTGTGTGGTGGTGGTGTGTCTGTTGACGTGAGGACGTGCTGTTCCTGTGTGTCTGTTTCCATGCTGTCCAACACCTGCCACCGGGTGTGTGTCGCTCTCTCGAGAGGTCGGTTTGTTTGTGAGTGGTGGCCTGTTGGCGAGAGTCGCGCGCGTTTTCGTTAGCTTTGCTCGACGAAACAACGCCATGCGACTGCTCCCTCTCTGTGTCCTTTTTTCTCTCCAATCTCTCTTCTTTTCTCTGTGTATCTATGTGTTTTCTGTCGCTGTTCCCATCCATTGTTTTGGCAATGGGCACACATATGCATGTCCAGGGCCTTTTGACCGTTTTCAACCCGCTTCCGTTTCTCTCTTTGCTCGACGACGCGTGTGAAGAAATGTTGTGATTATTTCGTCTTCATTCCCGGGAGCCCTGTTGTTTATACTGTATACTTTCTATATATATCTATTACTACTTCAAAAGTATTCGATCCGAGGACGGGGCGTTTTTCCCCCGCCGCTCGCATTGCTAGGCTGTTGGCTAAACTGATTCCGTTGCTGCTGTTCTTCAATGACCCTCTACCTCGCCTGGCACGCCGATCGTCTTGTCTCTCACTGAGTGTCAACTCTGTCTCGTTGTCGTCGTCGTCGGCGTTGTTGTTGCTTGCCCAAGCCATCTCTCTCTCTCTCTCTCTCTCTCTCTCTCTCTCTCTCTCTCTCTCTCTCTCTCTCTCTCTCTCTCTCTCTCTCTCTCTCTCTCTCTCTGTCGGTTTGTTTGCTGTGGTGTTGTGTGCTTTTTTTACGTGATGGACAATGGCTGACTGGTGCAGAGGCTTCGCCCAGCGATCCAGTGTGCAGTTTCTGTCCCCGTGGAAAGCTAGTGCCCCCCCCCCCCCCCCCCCCTCCCTCAATGTTCTTTCATATTGCCTGCACCGAATACAATTAGGGACCCATTTTGCCCTCTTTTTATGATCAACCACTAGCACTGCAGACATCATCTCACTTGTGTGCATGCGTGTGGTTGGCGCTGAAAGAACGGTGCCACTCACTAAGTTTATTCTGCAGGGGAGCGAATACTTGTGGCCGGGTGAGAATGGGTAGGACCAAGAGTACATGAAAACCAGAGTGTGCAGCTTGGGGCCTTTTCTGCTATGGGTGTCTGTCACGGCGAAATTCCGTGATTACATCATATTTGGCCCAGATCCGAGGCGGGAAATGGCGTAGTGCGTACAACTGAGCTGCAGTTGTGCAGAAAGAGACCTGCTTGAATCCTGCTTGTACGCACTACATCACTAAAATGATGTAATCACGGAATTTCGCCGTGACAGCAACCCATCCGAGCTGCACACTCTGGTTTTCATGTACTCTTGGTAGGACTAAAGGGACAAGCTTATCTATTTTTGCGGATTTTCTTTCATAAAAAAGAAACGTCACAGGCTGCTCTTCGGAGGTGTCCGCGTCCCAGCGGTCCGGGCAAGCGACCGCATCTCAGTGGGACACTTGTCCGTGGCCTTTTATTTGTACTGGAATCCGTGAGAGAGCCTTTCCAGGGACTACACACCTGGGTACCGGGTATGGACAAATCCCTGGTGTTGCTCCTTTTTTGTTCCTTTCCTTTTTATTTGTTTTTGCTGAGAAAGAAACGTTGCTGCATGAAAAGCTTTCTGTTCACGCCAGCGCCTTTGGCATTTTCTCTAGTAACATTGCTGGCTGATAATGGTCATTGCTCGTGATGCCAATGGTGAAGAGAAGCTGGGTTTCTTGCCATTTGAAACTTCCTGACTCTGAAAATGTAGCTTGAACTAAGAGCTCCAAGTATCAAGTTTAGTTTTTCGTTGTGCCAGACCTATTGTTAGAAGCTGCAGAGATGAGGAGCAAGGGCCTAGCCTAGGGAGGCGTTGGATTAATGCCAATAATGGTGTTTATGGCCCTGAAGGCTGAAGACGCCAGCAGTTTTCACTTGTCAGGAGGACAGCCAAGTTGGAGCAGGCAGATGACAGATTATTTGAGTATTTATCGCAGATCGTCTCAGCACCTCATGGTTACTAGTATCTGACAAATGCCTCTTATTGCTTGTCTGCATTTGAGCATAGCAGAATTGATCATGTCACAAGTAGTTACAAGACTTGATGTCCTACGATTATGCTCAGATCATGTTGCAACTTCACGGGAATATTCGTCCTGCCACTGTGCGCTCTCCCAGAATTGCATGCAGAAGTTACATGCCTGTCACAGTGTGCAATGGACAACGCGTTTGCATTGCTTATGGATGCAAGCGGATGGAGTGTAGACCAGATGAGAGAAAGTGATCCGGATATTCAACTAGCTTGGACTGCCATAATTAATTGGCCAGATGCCTGGACCATCTGAACATTGCTCCGAACCAATCCACAGAAACAATACCCACACAGGAAGCCAAATGATAAACCCATTCATCAGCTATCGAACCTTTCATCAAAACGTAATGCAGTGCATGCCTACTACTACTACTCAAATGAGATCAACGGATGCCACATGCAGATACAACGTGGAGGCTCAGTATTTTCAAGAACACAGTGCAGTCTAGACAACGGGTCTTGCACCTAATGTCCCTGATTTGCTTGCCGTATTTAGGTCCTTGCAATTCTCCGATGGTTATGTACCACAGTATGAGATATATGAGGGATCCCGGCAGCATGATAGATCCATCGGTACGTGAAATTCTCCTGGACGTTTGTGTGTGGTTATAGTGGTACAGGACATGTGATGTACGCCTCTTTGGTCGCTCACACATGATCCATTACCAGCATTGGTTACACTTTATTATCAATTAATATTTGTTATGACTTACGCTGGTCTGCGTACCCACCCACTCTACTCTAAAAAGTAGAGACTCTCGCTTGCCATTAATTTATCCGATAGTTTGACTCTCTAGGAGTTTCCCTACTACATGTATTATATGATAATTTATATTACCAATGCTCTAGACAGCAAGCTGTTTTACAATTATCCTTCTACATGACATTGTATATCTTCTTGACACCATGACTTTCTTTGAAGGTCCTGTAGCTATGAAATGTTATTTGCTGCAGGTCATGTGTGTGTGTGTGTGTGTGTGTGTGTGTGTGTGTGCATGCGTGAATGTCCCACGCGTGGGTAAATATACAGTCATGTACGTGTTCTGTGCCACACAATTTCAGTATCTGTATGACAGCACAGCGGCAGGCATAGCGCGCGCGCGCGCGAGAGAGAGAGAGAGAGAGTGTCAAGGAAGCTGCCGCTGCACCCGAGAGAGAGAGAGAGTTTTAATTATATCTCTGATGTGACTTCTGCAGTACTACATGTACTTGTATGATCGAGCGTACGAGTGTGTGTGTGTGTGTGCGTGTGTGGGTGTATGAATGTCCCACGCATAGGTAAATATACAGCCAAGTCTGTGGTGCCACACAATTTCATTATGTGCAGAACAGTGGGCCGGCACAGAGATAGAGACAGACAGACAGACACAGAAAGACAGAGACAGAAACAAAGGGATGCGCATAAAGAGCGACAGACAGAGACACGAACTCAGAGAGAAAGAGACAAAGACGAACAGACAGACAGACGATCAGACCCAGAAAGAGAGGGACAAACATTAAGAAAAACAGGAGAGACAGACAGACACACAGACTCAGGAGAATAACAGACAGAGATAGGTAATGTGTGTGTGTGTTTGGGTGTGAATGTCCCACGCATAGGTAAATGTACAGCCACGTATGTGGTGCCACACGATTTCATTATGCGCAGAACAGTGGCCGGTACAGAGATAGAGACAGACAGACACAGAAAGACAGAGACAGAAACAAAGGGATGCACATAAAGAGCGACAGACAGAGACACGGACTCAGAGAGAAAGAGAAATGTACAGCCACGTGTGTGGTGCCACACAATTTCATTAACAAGAAGAGAAGGACAAACATTAAGAAAAAAACAGGAGAGACAGACACACAGAATCAGGAGAAAAACAGACAAAGACAATGTATGTGTGTGTGTGTGTGTGTGTGTGTGTGTGTTTGTGCGTGTGTGTGTTTGGGTGTGAATGTCCCACGCATAGGTAAATATACAGCCACGTATGTGGTGCCACACGATTAAATTATGTGCAGAACAGCGGCCGGTACAGAGATAGAGACAGGCAGACACAGAAAGACAGAAACAGAGGGATGCGCATAAAGAGCGACAAACAGAGACACAGACTCAAAGAGAAGGAGACAAAGACAGACAGACAAAGACGAACAGACAGACGATTAGATCCAGAAAGACAGAGACAGAAAGAGAGGGACAAACGTTAAGGAAAAACAGGAGAGACAGACAGACACACAGACTCAGGGGAAAAACAGACAGAGACAGACAATCAGACATAGAAAGTCAGAGACAGAAACAGAGAGACGTACAGTCATAATGAATGACAAAAGGAGAGACAGACACAAAGACTCAGAGAAAAAATAGAGAAAGAGAGAGGCAGATCAAGAAGAAGACACAGAGACAGAGAAGAAGAGACTGAGAGAGGGACAAAGAGAGACAGAAGAATAGCACCAGAGAGAGAGAGAAATAGAGCTATAAATACAGGGACAGGCAGACAGACAAACATAAAGAGACAAGCAGAGACAGCCAAAAAGACAGACCGAGACAGGGAAACAGTTGGAGAGTTACGCAGACAGGCAGATAGAACGACCAAGACTCAGACTTAGAGAAACACATAGACACACACAGAAAGAGAGAGAGAGAGAGAGAGACAGAGAGAGAGAGAGAGAGAGAGAGAGAGAGAGAGAGAGAGAGAGAGAGAGAGAGAGAGAGAGAGAGAGAGAGAGAGAGAGAGAGAGAGAGAGAGAGAGAGAGAGAGAGAGAGAGAGAGAGAAAGAGAAACATAGAGGCACACAGACAGGCAGACAGGCAGACTGACAAAGACAGGCAGAAGGAGAAAAACAGATAGACAGACGACAGATAGACAGACGAAAGGCACACAGACAGGCAGACTCACAAAGACAGGCAGAAGGAGAAAGACAGACAGACGAGAGATAGACAGACCGACAGATATATACAGAGAGGGAGAGAGAGAGGGAGAGAGAGAGAGAGAGAGAGAGAGAGAGAGAGAGAGAGAGAGAGAGAGAGAGAGAGAGATAAAGAGAGAGAGAGAGAGATAAAGAGATAAAGAGAGAGAGAGAGATTGATAGAATAGAGAGATAGACGGACAAAGAAACATGTCGAGACACACAGATACGAGAGATTTCGTTCCTTGTGTTTCTAATACTGAAGTACACAAGAGAGATTGGAAGCTGTGTCACAACTCTTGAGTTTCACATATTACTACGATCATCAGGCAACTACTATAATATAAGTAGGTAGCAGCACAAAAACATATAGTGAGGTGAACTCATAAAACAGTGAGCCGAAAAAATACGATTAAAAAAGCCGATTCACAAACCAGGTAAAGACAGGAAGAGAGAGAGAGAGAGAGAGAGAGAGAGAGAGAGAGAGAGAGAGAGAGAGAGAGAGAGAGAGAGAGAGAGATATGTGCGCATATACCCTGCACCCATGCACGCGCATACACACAGAAGGGAGTTGATAGGTGGAGAATTAAGTCTGGCTTTGGAAATTCA